AATTAAGGGATAGGAAGAGGGTAGCCACGTCTTCCCCTTAAATAGAATGAGACCATCTTGAACAGAGATATGAGGGAACGCATCAGGTCATACAACAATGTTGTCACGAAGGAAATGAAATCAGTATTGACCGCCAGCGAAGACTTAAGATCCCTCAAAAAATCAAAATGGGATACTGATAAAATAATAGAGAATACTGAACGGAATCGAGGGAGTAGTCCTTACAAGAGAGAGCATCTGCAACATTGTTGGTTTTTCCCGATTTGAATTGAATTTCAAAATCGAACCCTAAAAGTTTGAATAAATATTTCAGTTGTTCGGGAGTGAGGACCGTTTGAGTAAGGAGCTCCTTGATTGATCGCTGGTTTGTCTGAATAACAAAGTGACGACCCAAGAGATATTAACGCCATTTTTGCATAGCGAAAGTAATGGCACATAGCTCCCGTATATAAGTTGAGGCGTTGCACATCGTTGGGCAAAATTGCTTGCTGAAATAAGCAACATGATGCCCCAACTGAGACAAAACAGAACCCATACCTGTTCCTAAAAGCGTCAGTTTGGACAATAAAAAATAAATCAAACTTAGGAATAACTAAAACAAGAGCAGTAAGGAGAGAGTTTTTGAGATGATCAAAAGCCTGTTACGCCTGCTCAGATCAGTGGAAATTATCCTTCTTGAGAAGGTCAATGAGAGGATGGACAATGGAAGCATAGCGGGCGATGAAACGTCTATAAAAATCGGTAAGGCCAAGGAAGCCACGGAGGGACTTGAGGGATGCAGGAACAAGCCAATTCCTTACCGATTAAAGCTTCTCTGAATCGGGTTTGACCCCTTTACTAGAGACCATGCGACCCAAATATTGGATAGCTTGGACTCCAATAAAGCACTTGTTCCCTTTGAGGTGAAAATGATTGTCGAATAACAATCAGAAGGTGGTTTCTAGATGAACGACATGGTCGTGTAAGGTGGAGCTATATACCAAAATGTCGTCAAAGAAGACAATAATAAAACGCCGAAGATGGGGGCAGAACAAGTAATTCATAATTGCCTAAAAGGTGGAGAGAGCGTTGGAGAGACCAAATGACATCACCCTGAATTCGTAATGGTCATTATGGGTTCTAAATGTTGTCTTCTCAGCATCTGCAAGAGTCATGAGGATTTGATGAAATCTTGAAAAGAGGTCTAACTTGGAAAACCAAGTAGCGTTACCCAATTCGTCCAGTAGCTCGTTAACTGTGGGGATTGAAAAATTGTCTTTAACCGTGGCGGCGTTAAGGGCCCTATAATTGATACAAAATCGCCATGTGCTATCCTTCTTTTTGACAAGGAGGACGGGTGAGGAGAAAGGGTTGGTACTGGGCTTCATGAAACCCATTTCGAGCATCTTCTGAACTTGGGACTCAATCTCCTATTTTTGGAAATGGGGGTATCGGTAAGGTCTAACCGATATGGGGGAAGTATTTGGAGTAAGGGTGATAGAGTGATTGGTAGTGCGAGGCGGGGAAGTTTAGTGGGGGTGGAGAAAAGGGCAGAGTACTATTGTATAAGTGAATGTAAGGGTTGATGGTGGGAGGAGGAAATTGTGGAGGAAGGAGGGGTGGAGTCGGAGGAGGGTATTATGGATGGTGAAGGGAGCTCCAAAGTTAATTGGAAAAGAGCCTTAACACGATTCGTGTTGTGCAATCGGCGAAGTTGGTTTGCGGAAATGAGAGAGGGATTGGACCTTGAGTTACCCTTCAATTCAATCAACTTATCATGCCACATGAAGCGTATAAATGGGTCGTTGTAGTCCATTACAAACGGGTTGATCATGGACAACCAATGGACACCCAAAACGATGTCAGTTTCGAAGAGCTCTAAGGGGTATAGGTCCACCGCAAAAGCTTGTTGGTCCAAGGAAAGGGTGACCTGAGGGCAGAATGAGGAGCAAGGCAAATAGTCTCCATTACCAACCATGACTCGAAGTGGGATTGGAGTGGGCCTAGAAGGTAAGTGAAGAAATTGTGCAACCCTACTTTGAATAAAATTGTGGGTTGCTCCACTGTCCACAAGGATCTGGACCGCGTACCCCATGGATCGACCCAGTGACCCGGAAAGTTTGGGGAGTCCAATGACCCAAAAAAACATGTAAACTGATTAACCCAGTCTCTTGAGGGTCCTCATCCGAGAGTTGCGATTCCTCAGTCGTAGCGGTGTCGCCTGTGTCGTCGGAATCAAATGTGGTGAGGAGGAGGAACTGAGGTTTGCAGCGATGACCTCGAGGGTATCTCTCATCGCAGTTGAAACAAAGGTTCTTATCTTTATGGGTCTGCATCTCAACTTCAGTGAGTTTCTTAATGGGTAATTTGGTGGGTGGTGTCGGAAGGAGAGGAGGGAGGGTTTGAAAGGGAGGGGGAGTGAGTGAGTGGCAGAGATCTAACGAGGTGATCGAAACAGGTAGGTGGAAGGGGGAAAAGCGCGATTTATTGTCATGAAGCTTGGCTAGGGCGATGCATGAGGAAGGTTAGGTGGTTGCAAGGCAGGAGGTGTGGTTTGAGGCCGGAAAGGAAACAACTGAAATAGAAACTCGAAGGGAAATTTTGAAATGCGATTTGTTAATGTCTCAAAGTCGGAGATGTAATCATGGAGACTCTGGATCTGTGTTAGCTTGCAGATCACATCGATTGAGTCATCAAATTTAGAGGGAGTGAAACACAATTTGAGGGCACGGAGAAAGGTGTCCCAAGAGGTAAGAAGACCGTTATTTTGCATCCATTAGAACCAAACAAGGGCTTGGCCGTCCAAATGAAGGAGGCAACTTGGATGCGTTGATTAGGGGAGGTCTAGTGAAACTCGAAGAACTGGTTAACCTTAAAGATCCAACCAAGAACATCAAAACCGTTAAAGGTAGGAAGGTCAAATTTAAGGGGGAGGGGCGGTTGGTGGTGGAGGGGGGATGGTTCTCAAGGAGGGTGGTACGATGGGAAATGTCATGAAAGGTGTTGGATACGTTGGCATGGGAGAGGAGAAGCTGTTCGAGTTTGACGTTAAACTTGGTGAGCTCATCCTGGGGAGGAGGTGGGTTTGGCATGGTGAGTAAGCAATGAAAGCACTAGTGAAAGATACTACATGGGTAGAGAGGAAGGATAACAAAAAGGAAAGAGAAAATTCAGAGAGGAAAGAAAATATTTTCTATTGCTTGTTTCATTTTTCTTACAAGAATGTGCTATATATGCACAACATGGCTACCGCCTTGTAGTAATAATCATACGCAAATAATAAGGAATATTCAATAATCATTTCTCTTTAATAGAATTTCCCTTTTTGCGTGATGAGGGACACGTGACAATATAATCCTTCAAACGATGAGGTTGGTGTCAGTTTCTCTTGGGACTCTTCTCACATGAGTTGATATCAAGAGGCAGCTGACTGTGTGATGCTATTAGGTTGCTGAGTTCAATTAGTGTAATGGTCCCTATGTTCCTTACAACCATAGTGATATTATTATAGAACATGTGACTAATATACCTTTATTACTAAAGAGAATATTGACCCTCTGTAGAGTCGAGACTAGAGTACCAAACTATCTTCTATTACATAAATTTCAACATAAGTTATGTGATGATAAATTTAAAGCTAAATTCAATTATAATTTATATATACTTAATTCTCTCAATCTATCAAATGTATTTTAAGGACAAAACAATAATAAATAGTAATACATTAAATAAAATTTAATCTCAATAATATTATTATAATCAACATAAAATTAAAATACTATAGATTAATCAATTTATATTTACGTTTTATAAATTTATTGAAAAAATTAACAAATAATGAATAATAATAATAAAATACTAAATTTGTTTTATATTTTAAAATCAATCATAATTTTAGTTTAATATATCTTTATACTAGATTACTTTTGACTCAAAAAATAAAAATAATAATAATATATTTAAATAAAAATAAAAAATTTATATTATATTATATTAATATTTTTTTTAATTTTAATGTATAAATAATACAGGACAAATTTTTTAAATAAGAATTAAGATATACTTTGTATTTTTGTAATTATTTTTTAAAAAATTTATAAAAATAAAAAATAAATATTTAAATATTATTTTCCAATAAATTGATATATGAAATTAATTTATAAGATATATATATATATATATGTATATATATATATATATATATTAATAAAGTAATATTATATTTTTCTATTTAAAAGATAAAATTATTCTTTTTATAACTTAGAATAATTTATTTTAAAGCTAAACAGTAAAGTCATAATTAAGTTGATTTAATTTTAACTCACAATTTTTGGACCATTTACTTCTGACGATTACAACAAATATATTCCGTAGACGAAGTTATTAAATCCGTCGGGAATGTTAATAAAAAAATAAGAAGATAAAACTTAAAATGACACTAACACTATCATGCTAGTAGGCTAATGTCCACCCACAGGGTCCCCAAAATTTCCCAAATTCCCAGTTCCCTGAATATCACCGAAAGACTCCAAATTCCGAATGGATATGTAGCTTCTGTTCTGATTTCAACACATGCTTGCTAGCTTCTGTTGTAACTGATTGGTTCTGAAAAAGTATGCGTTCTTCGTTCTTACGTGCTTCTTTGGTGCGATTGTTTTTGTTTTTCGCATTTGTCTTTTCCTTTGCCTTCGCCTTCGCCTTTACGTGCTTTCATTTCTACAAAATGAATTTTGCTTTCTGTGATTTTGCCTCGAATGGGTTCTACCATTTTCAGCTTTATATGTATAAATGTCTCAGTTTGTTCCCACATTTTTTTTATTGGGCTAATGTTTCTTGAGGAAGGAAGAGAAGAGCGTCTCAAAAAGTGAGACATTATATCCTGTGTCTTGCGTGATTGGTCCCTGTGGGCGTAAAATCAATGAATCGAATTTCAGCTATTTATGCCCATCCTTTCTGCTTTACATTTTGTCTCTCTCATTTGCACAATACCCACTCTCGGTAACATTTGTTTTGTACTGTGAATGGTCATCTGGTCTAAAACTGCTGTTTTGACATGTCATGATATTGATACTCTCTTCGATAGTTTCTTTGAATGGAAATATAAAATGAAATCTAGACACTTGGGTGAAAATAAAGCCACATGTAAGCAATGGCTTTTGTATGGGCGTATATAAGCTCCATTTCTTACTTAATGGTCAGATACTTAGATTTATGAGGGGACGCATTCAATTTAGGTTTCGTAATTATAATATCAGATATGCAGAATGTCACCTGATGCTATTAGGGATAGGCTTTTCCACTATAAATGGTTTATGTACTGGCTTAACTATATAGAAAATGGTTTTGGAACAGGTTTAAGAATAGGAATTGGCTTAACCATGGGGACTAGCTTTTGTACAGGCTTAACAACAGGAATTGGCTTAATAATGGAAATTAGCTACAGAACAGGCTTAAAAATAGGAATTGGCTTAACAATAGGAACTGGTTTTGGTACAGGCTTATATAGTGGACTAGAAATTGACTTTGGTGTTGGCTTAACAATGGGAGGCTTGACTAGGGGAATAGATTTTGGGAAAAAATCTTAGAATTTCGCATCTTCACTGGGAATTGGCATACCAATCGGAAAAACTTAGGAATGGACTTAAGTATAGGATTTATTTTTGATATAGGCTTACAAACTGGAATAGAAATGGGTTTAGCAATAAGGTTAATGCATGAGACACCAAGCTGTGTAATTTGATTTTTCCCTTTGAATATCATTTGATCAGAGTATCTAAACAATATAATGTGTCCTTGCTATTTATCAGACTGTCTGGATATATTGATCATAATAACTTTGAACTACTTTTAACCTTTTATTCATTGTTGTTTCATTTTTCGTGAGTGTGGCAGATCTCAATCCATGGTGATTCATTTATAGTGATGTGATGCTTGCCCAATTTGTTTTTTCCCATTTGAAATCATGGTTCTGAAATTAACTGTTGGTAGTATGCATGCAAATTTTTAATCCAATCTATTAAGTTGGATATGGATTTTTGAAAATCCAATCCTTGCCTATTTTTAGTGTTCTTGGGATTCAAGGGGAGCCCTAAAAATTAAAGGGGTCTTTATCAATGGGCCAAGAGAGAACTGTGCAAGTGTATCGAACAATAAATCCAACCCAATACATCAAGGCACTAGATGTATGGGTCCTTGCCATATATATATACATCATTCCAAATTCCAATTGTCCGCTCTTTAAAAATATAAAATTTCTCACTCATACTTGACACTCCCAATCCAACAGTTAGGTTCTAATTGCAGGATACAAGCTTAACTAGATATATGGGATTTTGGTGAGAAAATGACCTTGGGTTTTGTCACCACTAGTGTTGTCAAAATTGTAATAATGTAAGATTGTATGCAGCACATTTAAGTGTAATCGAAATCAAAGGGTTGGCCAGAAATACCTCAAACTCAAACTCAAACTCAATGTGTTCTCTCCCTGCTATCTGTTGCTTTAAGTTATACTAATTTGTGATTTTTCCATTGCTGAAGTAACACACTTCATGAGCGTTAGGTTGCAAAACTATAGCCATATATTACTCAAAAGATATCACCTCTTACACTATTACGATTTTGACAACACTAGTGGTGACAGAACCCAAGGTCATTTTCTCACCAAAATCCCATACATCCAGTTAGGCTTGTATCCTGCAATTGAAAAAGTTGATATTTGTTTGACACATTAGTGCTAGGTTTGGACATACTGGAATCCCTTGATACTGTGTTTACACATTGTTGATTGCGGACAGATGTAATATTACTGAGACTGTAGGTCTTTAACCTTATATGTAATTAGACTCCCAAATTATCTCTGGTTTCATATCTGCAAAAACTAAATAAACTTTGTTAGCAATTTGTGCTATTTCTTTTGCAATTTCCCTTCATGGTGCCCTTTCAGGCTGAGGCTATGGTTGTTTGTGCATCTGTGTGCACATGATGATGTTTTCAGCAACACAAGTATATGTAATTTCTTTGCTTTGTTTTCATTGCTTCTTCCTTTGTCTCCATTTCAGGGAAACAGAAATGGGTTCTTGGGCTACAGTATCTGTTCTGACTATTCCATGGTCTACAATCAATGCTGAATCTGCTATGCACTCCAAATTATGCACCGTTTTTTATAAAATTTACAGAAGTACAAATAACAGAAAACTCAGTCTCTTTTTTGCTAGGGATCATTATAAACTTAGGAGTATTGGTGTGATTAAGTCAAGCCAAGATGTATCTTATTTTCAAACCAAACAACAAGTAGGAACTTGGGAAGAACCAGATACTGGAAGTGACAGTGAGTCTGACGATGAGGAAGTTGAACAGGCAAACTTAGTGTTTGAAAGTAATTTTGAAGAGGAAGGGATGAAGACTTCAGTTGTTGCTGATGTTAATAACATAACTTCAAGGGACAAATATGAAGAACTTATTAAGAAAGGTTAATTTTTTTTTTCTTCTTATTGCTTTATTTCTTTTGGAACCGAAAACTAGACCTGTCCAGTTCCAGGGTCAACTGTCCAAGCATCGGAGCTGTATTACCATGAACATCAACTTGAGGTTCATTGGACTATTAGAACAAAATTAGTCCAATTTTTAGAATTGGTGCTGATGTTTGGGAGTATAAATCCTCAATTATGGTCTATTTGTTTACTAAACCTCAAAGCTTCATTAGGTCCTTGCTTAAATTTAAATTTCCACAGTTTAGGCATGCCTGGTCCTAACTCTTGTTTTCTTCCCCTTAAAAGGCTACTTCTGTATTTATTTTTTGTTACATTGTGACACACTATTCTTGTTTATGATGATACTAAAAACATATAAGGAGAAAACAACCCTAGCTTTTTAAGAATCACTTTGATGCACGTATTAATAATTGGGTTAATTATGTCTTTTGGTCCCTAAACTTTTTACAAAATTCATTTTTAGTTCTTAAAACATATTTTTTAGCCTTTTTTATCCTTATATTTTTTCTTTGTTAATGATTTTGGTCTCTGCTGTCAAGTAACAGTGCTGAGGACATTGCAGTCGCGAGAGTTGTCATATTGTTAATGTGTCTAACATGATGTAAATTTTTGTATTATACTGTATTGTTAATCTCACATCTTTTTAGACTAGTTGATAACGTCAAACTAGTTGATTGGGATTAAAATGATAGGCTACCAAAATATTTTTATACAGGATTGTTACGTCAGACGCATTGATGATGAGATAAGTCACATCACAGCTCCATCATCAAATAATGTTGCTACTTCACAACAGGACTAAAACCACCAACATAGAAAAAATGTAGGGATAAAAAATGCAAAAAAAAAAAAAATTGTTTAGGAATTGAAAGTGAATTTTGGAAAGTGTTTAGGGACCAAAAACTTAATTAACTCTTAATTTTTTATAATATTTATTGAGTGATCCAGTTAATTGCCAAATGTCACTTAAACTAGTTGAACCATCCTAGGTGCGAACTGCTAACCTTACCAGTTTACTAATCAATTCAGTTTTTGAACATTGTTTTATATTTCTCGCTCTTAGTGTTTGTAGTTGTTACTTTCAGTATGATTTAATGGTCGAACAACTTCCATATAGTGAATATGCCCAACAAATTTAAATGTGCTAAAGAAGTTTCACAAGTAGATTGTAGAATATCTTTTGATCCTGGACAACAATCTGCTTCTATAAGAAGATATTTTCATTATTGCAGAGGTTGAACAGCTTTTGGAACCAGAAGAAAGAGCAATATTGGAACAGAATGTTACTCCTAACTTGGAAAAAATTTCAACTGTAAGTGTGTGACTCTGCATCTGTCTCTCCTAGTGCTCACTTTCTTATTTACACTTGAGCTCTTGTATTCATGTTTTCAGGCAAAATGGAGCCCGCTGCACACTCTTGTGCTATCGATGCAGATGAGTTGTGTGGATAAGCTTCTTGAAAATGGTGTTGATATTGATTTACCTGATAAGGTGAGTTTGTTGTTTATTATTGACTGACATATACAATTATGCCAATTTATGCATGGTATTTGCCTGGACTCAAATAGCATAATTTGACAAACAGGACGGTCTTACTGCACTTCATAAGGCAATTATAGGTAAAAAAGATACTTTGGTTAGCCATCTTTTACGGAGACGTGCAAGTCCACATGTTAAGGATAAGGTGAGGAAACATTCTGTACACAACTGTCATAAACTGTTGACCGCATTCTGAACTGTGTTTATGCATCTATTCCTATGGTAGGATGGAGCCACTCCACTTCATTATGCAGTCCAAGTTGGTGCCAAGATGACTGTTAAATTATTGATTAAGTACAAGGCTGATGTCAATGTTGAAGATAATGTGAGCATTTCTTTGAACACAAGCTTGTTTTTATTAGTTAAGATTTTTTCAATTTTATTTATAGTCTGGTTTATTTACAACATTAAAATTCTGCCAGGAAGGTTGGACCCCCTTGCACGTTGCCATTCAAAGCAGAAATAGAGATATAGGAAAAATTTTGTTAGTCAACGGTGCTGATAAAACAAGAAAAAATAAGGTAATTTTGTCATACATACCACAACAAACTTGGTGTAGATTATTTAAATGCATCATTGTGAACATGTGTTATTTTCATTCCTTTTAATCTTAACATTGTTTGATAGCCTATTCTTTCTTTGTTATATTTCTAATCCTTTTTGACTATACTGCTATAGTCCAGTGAAGCTACTACTGTAAAGTGTTGACCTCTCCTTCCGTTGGTTTCAAGTCTGTATAGTTAAAGACAAAAATTGATTGTGGGATATTTTTCTAAAGGGTAACACCGGGAAGATATTCACGAACTTGACACAAAATAATCATATAAGATAATATAATACCACTTTCAATTAAAATTTTAAGGTATAAAGTTTGTGAGTTTTTTACACTTTTAAGTTTCCAATTTCTACCGACTTTAATTGAATTCGAACCCTCTCCCTCAAGTGTAAATTGCTACACATTGGTATACTTTTCCTTGAATGGAAACTAAGACAAACCATAAGTTCTAATACTTTTATTAGTTTTTTTTTTTTTTTTTTCAGGGTGTAACACTAGGAAGAAATTCACGAGTGAGATACAACATAATCATATAAGAAAATGGGATACTATTTTCAATTCAGAATTTTAAGATATTAAATTTGAATTTTTTTCACTTTTTCTATTTCTAACCAATATGAAATTTAACATATCCTTAAATTTCAACATTGATTAAGCATGAAATTCCTTTCTTGCCAGCCCATCAAGGTTACTATTTTCCCTTAGGTTAGAACTTCATTGTTGGTTGGTTATGTTTCAGGACGGAAAAACAGCCCTGGATCTAAGCTTATGTTATGGGAAAGATTTTAAGTCTTATGACCTTGCCAAATTACTGAAGACGGTTCCAGCTGATAGCTGTCTATGACTTGGGAGATGCTAATGGCGAGAACCAGAGTAATCTTTCAGTTGAAAGGTAGTTGCTACTAATTAGCAAGTAAATCACCCCCTTGGATTCGGCTCTCTGAGATCTGCTGCTGATCTTTTTAAAAATGAGGAAAGTTTTGGTGGAACAATTTATTATCTTTTACGTCAATGATCACATGGATATTTTTGCAGCAAAGCTCCAATTGACAGACATTATCCTGTCAAAACAACACACATTTTGCAGATTATAAGTTGAGAAAAGTAGTGATATGCAGACACAAAGTGTTTGGCAAAATCACCGAGTTATTTTAGATGAACTGCTCAAACCACTGATCTTTCTACATGTAGAATTGTTTCAATGGATAAAGAATAACCTTTTGAGTGCTCAAATTTTATAATTGATTGTAACAAGTAGACATTAGATTCTTCATTTATTTAATTAGGATTAAATTTCGTTTTATGTAAATGATAAAATTTTATGTGGAAACATACATATTGTTTCGTGTATTTTGTTTGTTCCTTCTCTTCTATGACCAAGTAGAGGTTCTCTCCAACTATGTGATTGTAAACATAACACTATCGCACTCCCTTTAGTAATGGTAGAACAATGACAATCTCTATCCCTCATCGGACATAGAAAATAACTTTTGGAATAAAAAACGTCTTAAAAATGTCAAATGGGTAATTTTCAATAATTGATGTGAGTATGCAATTTTTTTTTCTTTGGTATAACAAATTCTTCTTGTGAAGTAATTTAGGAATTGGGTGACTAGAAGAATTATAGGAACAGGGAACTCAAAGAATTGAAGGATCCAAGAATGTTATAGAGAAAAGATTTACAAGAGAGAATACAACTGAAAGAATAGAAAAATTCTTAGATCAAGTTTGATGTGTCTATAATACAGTTTATAAGCTAAAACTCCAATTCAATAAATGATTTTGGATGGTCCAAAATACTTATGGCTCAACTTTGCATTTTTCCTTATGACGATTGGTATTTGGCTATATGGATGCAATTTTACATAGACCAAGTCTCTAATATTGTATTTTTAGTCGGTTCTATATTTGTTAGCAAACTATTTCATCCTCTCTTGTGCTCTTCTTAGATGAAACTTGCTTAGCTTTAACATCTCTTTATCTCAAACTTTTATCCATTAATTCAACATTTGATTCTATTGGAAGATAAGGACGATGGATAGGGGTTGGCTGCTCGTAAACAATTTCATAAGAAGTCATTCTGGTTGTTGTATGGCAAGAAGTATTCTACTTCCATTCAGCCATGGGTAACCATTTGAAATATTTTTGTGGTCTATTCTCACGTATACACCTGAGATAAGTTTTTAAGCACCTGTTCACCACCTTTTATTGTTCATTTGTCTGTGGATGGTAACTAGTTAAAAGTTGAATTTAAAACCACCATTCAACCATGGGTAACCATCTGGAATATTTATGTGGTTTATCTGCATGTATACACCTAAGATAAGTCTTTAAGAACGTGTTCACTACCTTTGATTGTCCATTTGTCTGTGGGTGATAACTAGTTGAGAGTTGAATTTAAAACCTCTTGGATCGCCATAAATTCTTACCAAAATTGGCTTACCAATATAGGATCCTTGTTACTTGTAATAGATTTTGAACACCCATGTAACTTAAATACATTATCCATAAAAGCTTGAGCTACATCGCTGACATTGGGTGAGCCAAAGCTATAAAATGAGCTGTTTTACTCAACCTGTCTACCATCACAAATATGACTTCTTTTCCCCTTGACTTAGGCATTCCTTCAACAAATCCATTGTAATATGTTGTCCAACATGATATGGTACAAGTAAAGGCTGCAACAGTCCTGAGGTAGCTATTGTTTCGTCTTTAATGCTGCTTTCGCTTCATTTGTTCACCTAAACTTGTCCTTCTTGAACATATCGTTAAGGGGCTTGACTATTATTCCATAGCCTTTAACAAGCCGATGATTGTACCCTACCAGTCCCAAGAATCCTTTGAGCTGCTTAATGATCTTTGACAAAGGCCATTGAACCATTGCTTCAATCTTACCAGGGTCAATAGATACACCTTCTTCAAATATGAAATGACCAAGTATTCCACTTTCTCCATCTTAAAGTAACATTTATAGCGTCTAGCAAACAAGTGGTTCCTTCTTAATGTCAATAAAATCATCCTTAGATGGTGTAAATGTTGCTGCAAATTCTCACTATATATAAGAATGTCGTCGAAAAAAATCAACCAAAATTTTCTAAAAAATTGTTGGAAGATAGCATTCATTAGACCTTGAAAAATTACATACGCGTTGGTAAACCCAAATGGCATTACCACGTACTTATAGTGGCCACCATGAGTCCTAAAAGCTTTTTTATACACATCTGTGGGATCCATTCGAACTTGATTATACCCAAATCTGAGATCAATCTTAGAAAATATTGTTGAACCATATAATTCGTCCATAAGTCTTCAACCAGGTGAACTGGAAATTTGTTCTTTACTCTATTCTTGTTCAATTCCCTGTAATCTATACACATCCTCTATGTTTCATCCTTCTTACTAACCAACACCACAGGATTGACATACAGGATGATGCAATTTCAAATTACACCTAATTGCAAATATTCCTAAATCAACTCATCCAAGATATCCTTGTGATTTTTCACATACTTTATAAGGATTGACATACAAGATGGTGCTATTTTGAATTACACTAGACTGCAAATGTTCCTGAATCAACTTATCCAAGATATTCTTCTGATTTTTCGCATATTATGTAAGACATTATATTAACTGGACCAGTGCCTTGCACTAGGGGTATTTGATGATCATGATCCGATTAGAAAAGAGGTAGCTGAGTTGGTTTCTTAAAAACATCACAAAATTCTTATAACAATTGAGTTACGTCTTCTACTACTGGCATCTGAGTAGTGTGGGTGGTTAATGATTGTAACAAAACTCCTTCTTCTTCTTCTTCTCCTACATGTAGCATGGAGATATGCACACCTTCATCTAGAGCCTTTTGAAATTGTTACTTTTTAGCCATTTTGAACCCCCTGAGGAAGAATCGTGTAAGACATGTTTTCTTCCATGAATTATGAAACCCATGGTAAGATTATTAAAGTTCCAAGTGATACCCCATAGAGTAACTAGTCATTCAATGTCTAGGACAACATCATAACAACTCAAGGGAATTAAAAACATATCTGTTTTAAATGTGCTTTGTTGAATAGTGAAAGAAAAAATATTTTACCATTGAGGATATTTGAATCTTGGAACCATCTGCCACTGCAATATTTAGACAATCTATTGCCTCAATTTTACAACCATATCTCTTGGAAACTTGAATATTTAAGAAATTGTGTGTGCTGCCACTATCAATAACAATGTGCAATGGTTTCTTGTGATAGTAACCAGTGACTTGCATCGTTTGAAAACTAGTTATATCTGTTAGTGCATTAACGAAAATGTGAGGTTCATCCTCTTCTTGTCCTTCCTCCTCGGGATCATCCAACATATAAAGTTGCAATTTCTTGTGTGTTAACCCATGTTTTGGGGAATAAGGAGTATCACAAAAGTTGCATAAATCTTTTGTTCTCCTTCATTCTTGTAAGCTGGAGTTAAACATTTACTTGGTACCATTTTCATCATATTTCTATCTTCATCCACTAAAACACTCTTGTCCAGGTTTATTGGTTTGGGGCCTAACACCCCCTGGTGGTGCCAACTGCCCATTCGGATTGTTGAGCTTGAAAAGTTATTTGTCTCATATAATCGTGCTAGTGAAAAAGTCTTGTGGACCATAATGGGTTGGAACTTACAAATCATGAGCTGCTATCTTTTTTGAGACCTCCCAAGAAACAACTTAGGGAGTACTCTTCCGATAAATAGACTTAACCGGTTAATAATGTTGTCAAACTCCTCATAATATTCCATCACTGACTTCTTTTGGCGCAACTTCATCAAATCGGCCATTGGGTCAATACCCATGTCTCCAAATCGCTTAAGAACCCGCTGTTGGTATTCCTTCCAAGACCAAGCAGTGTAATCGGTTGTTCTAGAAATTGTAGAATCTCATTGCAATGCACATCCTTCCATGTGGGCAACTGCTAGCTTGACTTTAGTCTCGTTAGGAGTGTTATCAATGAGAAAAAAAATTGTGACTAGATGTGTGCCACGAGAATACGTACGTTGATCCATTCTTGCCATCGATCTTGTAGCATCTGTGTTTTTTCTAAGTAATTCTTGCAAGGTTTCTTGTATAGCAACATCTAAAGTATTTTGTATAGATCCTGCCAAATGTTCCTCCAATCGTGATGCCAATCTTTCTTCCATGTCCTTCATTGCTACAACACTTTGTGTGGATTTGCATTGAAAAAGGTGAACAACAAGGACCAACCTGGTGGATACCAATTGATGTGCAAAAAGTAATTCTAGAAATTGGGTGATTGAAGAATTACAGTAAAAGGGAATCCAAAGAATTGAAGGATCTAAGAATGTTACCAAGAAAAAATTTACAAGAGAGAGAATACAATTGAATAAAATAGAAAAATGTTTTGATCAGGTTTGATATGACCTGTTCCAATTAAGGATTGAGAGTGCCCTGACATCATGTCTGCTATGATAACATCGTTAGGGTCAATTTTCACGTTTAACGTATTATCCACTTTAAAGCTCTCGTTTATTACGAATTTGTCCATAAAAAATATCTCGATAGATTAAGGGAGTAATGTGTATTTAAACTATCTTGGTCTCAACACATCGACTCCTAAACGATGTGAGACTTCATAAACATATTGGAACATAACCAATCTTTTTTAGTTAACTATCCAACAAGACATTTTAATATAGTTGTTGCTATTTTTATTCTAGCATCTTATTCTTGGATCTTAATTATTTCTACTTATGGTGGAGAAATGTTTCCTTTATATCTAGTTATTTGAACTCCAAGAAGCAGGGCACTAAAAGTGTTCAAAGAAATTGGGCATATACCTGTATTTGGTTATAATACCATCAACCATTTTGATTTGCATCTTATCCCTACCAATTATCGTAGAAGCATCATCATCGTGAATCAAAACTTTACCAGATTCGATTAATTGGAATTTTGACAAACCAATCACTCTTAAGCACCTGTAGAAAGTATAATTGAATTAGAATTCGGTCACCATCATTAACATTAAACCAAATAAGAAGTATATTTTCACCATCAAATTTTGTTACTTTTCTCTTAAGAATATTGATTTTCCAAATTTTCTAAAATGGTCCAAAACCCTAATATCCAGTTAAAAAATTATATTAATTGAGTGAGACAAAGAAAACTAACGGTGAGAATTTAAGAAGTTTGAACATAACAATGACGGCAACTGCAAATTGTAAGAGTTTAATGCCCAATGGAGACGGGAGAAAATTCATGAAAAACTGTAGGATTTTGAACTTGTCACATTTTATTCCATCTTTTGCAAACGATTAGTTTTTAACATGAAATATTTTGATCTTTTGCTCAAGATGATGATTAATACACTTTTAATTGAATGTGTCTCGTATTATGCTTTATAGAGTCTTCGTATTATATACATAAAAGATGAGTTAACCTAATATAAGAAATTAAATTATTATAACACATGTTTAGAACATCAATAAAAAAATTAAAGTGTGTAGTAGAAAACATTAAAATTTCAATAAAGATATGTATATGTGACTTAAATAAGTTTTACGTAAATTTCAGTATAAATGTCTAATGTTTTTATTAATATAAACTCTAAGGTTTAGGTTGATTCAAAAGTTTAACATCATATTATTATTCTTATATAGAGTGATAGGTATATATAAAAAGGATAATCATTGTTCATATATTAATTCTTAGATTTATATTTAAATAAACTTATCAAATGGAATAAGAAACTTGACTAAAAATACCATGTCCATAAAAAACAATCTCTACATTATTTACCTAAGTTCATTTAGCTCTTAACTCAATGTAAATAATATTGAATCAAACGGCCATTAATTAACACACATTCACATATACTTAAGATAAAAAAAATCACAAATCACAATTTAAAAAACAGAAAATGAATGAAAGAATAAAAAAAGAAAGTAAAAACATGATTTTTAACGAAGAAAATTTAAGTAAGAATCTCATATTTTCTAAATTGAAATATAAATGTTATGACCTAAACATTAACATTTGAAGATAAAAATAGACAAGTTTAATGAATAAAGGCAGCTAAAAGTTAGGTTGGAACGGAATGTTTGGCCTCACATTCAACTTGATTGAAACGTTCACTTCATATATTTTTTCATATCTGTCCAATTAAAGAAAAACAAAAATTAAACAAATATATATGTGGTCGGAAATTTTTGCATTGAAAAAAGATAGGAGGTGGTTGGTACACGTGGCAGCATCGCACGAGTGGGTCGGCGAGTGGAGATGACGTGGCGAAAAGCGCAAAGCAAAAGTCGCATTCGCAGCCACTCACTCTTGTTATAGACAGATAGATATTTTATCCTGAGAAATATCGAATTTTTATTTTTAATAAATAAGAATAAATGCCGCCATTTTATTTTTAATCATTCATTGCAACTCTATCTGTTTCTCTCTTTTGTCCTCTTTTCAGTGTCTTCCTTCATCTTCCTCCCACACATTCTTTAAAAATGCCCTCAGATGCCTCATTCATTTATCTACTCATAAAATCCTTTTCTGTTCATTTTTAATTAATATCTTATAAATAATGATACTTATTATGATTTTTTTTAATGTTTTGTAGGATAAGATTTTTGGGAACCCTTTTGGCTTTTGAAAGTATATTTGGAAGGCAACAACTTATTTAACTACCTTTTCAAATACAATTAAATTTCAACTGGGCATTACCATTTTCAGTTCATTGACAAATTTTAAAATAAAACATTTTTATGGTTAGGTACCAGGCTTCTTTTTAGTTTAGTTAAAAGTTAAGTTTTTTTCTTTTTTTCTACAAAAGTAATCATAACTTAATGAGATAGACTATCCGGTAGTGTCAATTTTGGCAGCAAAAACCACAAAGAAAAAAAAACTTTCTATAAAGTTTTGATCATAAATTTAAAATATAATTTTGTAAGAAGTCAAAATAATTTTTATAATTAATCTTGAAGGAACCATTTACAGATAACAAAATAATAAAACAACGAGAAAAATATTCATTTACATTTATCCAAAATAAAAAAATAAATGTTAAAAGAAGAAAATATTAAGCAAATAATATAATTGTAAGTTCAGTCCTTTTTATTGTAATTTAAAATACAATTCAATAAAAGTATTTTTATTTGTTTATAATTTATCCCCTTTAAAAGAAAATATTAACTTTTCAGCGTTTATAAATTTAAAACAATATTCAATTACTGTTATTTTCTTCATCTTATTCTTTTTAATTTTTTTCTTCATTTAAATCTTAGTTTTACATGCCATTAAAATATTGTATTCATTTTAACAAATAAAAACAAAAAATATTTGAAAGTATATAAATAAATTAAGATCAGTAGAAAATATTAATTAGATATCTTATTCACATATATTATTTTGAAGTAAATAAATAAGAAAGAGATAAAACATATATTTTAAAATTCACACAAATAAAGAAATAAAGAAAAAGAGAGGGAGAATAAATAATGGGATTTATCTGTTTCAATTTCTGGAAAGAAAAAAGACATTGGCCACGCTTTATCGTGCACTGTGTGAGCGGACGCGTGGCACTCCCTAACCCGCGAGTAGCGTGGTGCTGCACTTTCACCGCGAGTGTGACGTGTTCAAAATTATCCACAACACTTTTTCTTCGCCACCGAATTTAAAACACCAAATTTTATTTAAAATAAAAAACAGATAACGAAAACAGGGTCCATGACCGTACGCCACGTGTCCACCACAACTTTCGACGTGAGCCACAAGATTCCTTCGAATTCTCGAGATTTCGATGTCGGATGTAGAAGGAAGAAAAAGTACTTTTAATTTTTCCTACGAGAAAATAGAAATTCAAATCTGACGTGTCACTCCCTTGTTGCTCCTTCTTTTTTTTGTCCCTCACGACAACATTCACAAGAAGCACCTTCGGAGTCTGAGCTTTCACTTCTTCCAACTTCTCCATCTATCTATCTGCTACCTTTCATCTCTCTCTCTCTCTCTCTCTCTCTCTCTCTCTCCGTTAAATCACACCCAACTATAGCTCTTTTCCTCGTACAATTAACCATTTTCCTCGGTGGGTTTTGTGTAATTTTGTTGATTTTCCATTTCTTCCATTTTTGCTGCTACTAAGGTAGTAGTGCTGTGGCTTATGAGTTATGAGACTCTTTCTATTTTGAAAAGATTGGAATTTTTCTTTTGGGAAAGGTGTGTAGTGGGAGGATTTTTATCCATTCAGTTGTTGATTGACGAGGCGATTAATTTGTTTTTTGCGATCAACCTTTGGTAGTGCTTGATCCCAGGATTTGTAGATGATGATGATGAGTTTCTTTTTATTTTGTGATTCTGAGATGTGAATTAGTGGTTGGTGAAGTGAAGAATTAAGGCAGTGTTTGTATTATACCTTGACTTTTGGATCACGGTGGGTCCATATTTTAACACAATTTGTTTAATTCTGTTGTTAGCTTTCTAAGGGAGAGTTGTTTGAGTTGTACTTTTCTTATTTGGGATTTGTATCCAGAAAGAGGAATTCTAGTACACTTAGGTGTTGTGATCTGATTGTAAGTTAGGAAGCAATATCCAACGGCGAAGTCGTGGAATTTGCAACTGGGAAGAGGAGGACAAGGTCTTGATCAGTGGTTTGGTTTCTGAAGCCATGGCGATTCAAGTATGTAATACATAAGTTTCAGCTATGTTTTCCTTTGATGTGAATTGTTCGATACTATATTCATATTTGTAAGGGTTGGCTGAGATTGTGGTTCAATTTCGATGTTGATTGTATTCGTTTTGGGTGGTTCATGCTTAGGACTATTTGTTAAAAGAGGTGGAAAAGTGAGAACCATAATTTCGTTTTCGCTTGCCCATGTCAAATGGCAAAGATGCATAGATTTCACATAAACGGAAGAAGTTACACTCCTAAAGAAAGTTTGAACGCTTCCCTTTGGGAAACAGTTTTTAGAAGAAGGAGGCCTGCTTAAGGGATTACGAATGACACTTGTTCATGTCTTTATCAAAAGAGTTGTTTTTCTTTCTTTCTTTTTCCTTCATATATTTCTTAGGTGTTTTTGATACTTGTCTTCTTGTGGAGTGAAAGATTCGCTTGAAAGATCTCTACTTCCTTAGTGGATAAATACTTTTCGTCTGGTTGGCCACTATATAAGAAACATTTGGGGTTCCCTTGATGATTATAATTCATTATATTTCTTTTCTCTTTGAATTGAATGTAGGATCAAAATGGATTTAACAGATCACAGGGTGGTCCTTCGGAAGGAAGTGGAGTCTCTCTGAGTTCTGGAGTGCATTCTGTTGCACATATTCAACTTAATGACCAGTTTTCTTGTGGGAATGACTATGCCCTGAAGGTTCTCCCTGAATTCTTGAGACTTATTGGGATTTTGCGTACTATAATTGTTCTCTTTTCCTTATGTTAGTGTATTATTTGTTTTAATTAGTTTTCTTTCCTTTCAACAGGTAAGGAAGCCGTATACTATCACGAAACAGAGAGAGAGGTGGACAGATGAAGAACATAAGAAGTTCCTTGAAGCTTTAAAGCTCCATGGTCGGGCTTGGCGGCGTATTGAAGGTATTATTAACTAAGAGCCTCCATATCTTAGGCAATAATGCCATTAAAATTTTAAATAAAGGAAATTTGTGTATATGCATCTATGAGTAATCAAGGACTATGATTGTGTTAGTTCTGAGTTTTGAGATTCTTTATTTTCTCAACAGAACATGTTGGCACAAAGACTGCTGTTCAGATTCGAAGTCATGCTCAGAAGTTTTTTTCTAAGGTTTACTGCTCTATTCTAAGAATCATTCTCAACCATGTTTTCTACTTAGCATAATCCATACATCAGGTAAGTTAAGATTTTGATGACCCTAGGATATCCAAAGCGCCACCTTCTTTTGGATTGAAGGGTTCATCTGTTGTCCTCGAATTCAGTCTAATTACTTTGTCTTAACTTCATGACAGGTTCTTCGCGACCGTACTGGGAGTGTTACAAATACAGTGGAGTCAATTGAAATTCCTCCTCCAAGACCAAAACGAAAGCCGATGCATCCTTACCCTAGAAAGCTAGTTGAGACTCCTAGTAAGGAAACTTCAATTGCAGAACAACTAATGAAGTCTAGTTATCTGAAGTCATCAGATTTTGATCAAGAAAACCAATCTCCGAAATCAGTATTATCAGGAGGGGTTTCAGATAGCCTTGGCTCCTCAGATTCAGACACACCAAATGGAAGTTTGTCGCCCATGTCATCCATCAGTGGCATCCATACAAGCGGTTTTACATGTGCCGAACCCAACACAACATCCGAAGAAGCTGGGATAAACGCTGATTCATCTCATGATGAGAAGAAACCTCATATGGTACTTCCTAATCTTTATTGATTACAATATAATCACTAGAGTATCTTGACAAATCGATATATGACCCTATATTATTTTGTTTGATCTCAATATCTAGAAATTCAAGCTTCCTACAAACCAAAGCGATTACATCAAAGAAGACATAACAGAAGAATCTTCAGGCCAGACTTTCAAACTTTTTGGAATGACATTTTTTGTAACAGATACATGCAAACCCTCTTCTCCAACAATCGAGGCATGCAAACCAATACCTCTAAACATACGCAAGGGGGATGGAACATTGGAACTTCTTGGCCACATCACATCAAGTGAAACATCAGCCATATCCCTGCTAAAGGTGAGAATGGGTCCTGAAACATGTGGGAAAGGGTTTGTGCCATATAAAAGGTGCATGGAAGGGAGAGAAAACCAGTCTTCATCTGTGACAAATGATAATAGAGAAGAGCAATGCATCCACCTTTCGTTGTAGCTTTACCCCAATGGTTTTTTCTCCAGAAGTGTCCCGTTTCAGGTGATGATGAGCTGTAATGGTTGTTTAAGCTGCTGGATGTGAGTTGGCATGAGATAGGAGGAAAAAGGGGGAGTTGAAAATTTTGACATTTCTGTTGCATTGCACATTCTTCAGCTGTTCAAATCCGTCTTTTTGTATTTTTTCACTTTCAAGTTTCAACTGTGAATTATATCTAGTGTTTTTGTTTTCCAACCTTTTGTACTCCGAATGAGTATGCGAAGTGTAAGTTCCATACTTGTGCAGTGCTTTTGAACCTACTTGATCATAGATTCTAATACTTACCGTGATGGAAAATTTTCAAACGGGCATGCTTTGTGGATTTCAGAGCAGTATTCCCTGAACTAAGTTATATTTGGTGACAAAATGAGTTGTAGGGAGCATATACACTATTGCAAGAACGTAAATGCTATTTAACACATATCAGGGGCCTACTTTGTTCTGCTTGATCTATGTTAACTTTATCCAATAATGTTCTATGCAGTTGTTAAACAATATGGAGGACAATGGGTGGGTGAAAAGAAGATTTGGGACTTGAAGGGATTAGTGTGGCACATATTTTACACAAGAAATACTTGTAAATTTGATCATATTAAAAGTAGCCAACAAGCATTTGGCGCTACAATTGTGGGAGGAGATATACTAAACTAATGAACGCTCCAAAGTCTTTTGGATTGTTCGTTTTCTATTTTTCTAAGGAAAATCATTTCCTTGTGTCTGAGAAAAACTTCTGAATCCATAAGAAGGTAATTTAATTGGGCTTGATGATCCGGTTTACATGGGTTTCCTTCCATTTCAATCTATCCTTATATAAATGACCAACGAATGAGATCCTTGTTGTTTAGAAGCTATAATATAGGTTAGAGAAGGTAAACCTAGAAATTTAGATTTCTTTTTCCTCAAGGGAAGAAAGTTAGGAAATGAATGTTAGCACTATTACTATGCAACATGAACTTCCAGCGGAAAAAGTATTGTAGTTTCCCAAACCCAAAGTATAGTCCACAAGGAATGTCATGGGCCTTAAACTTAAAAAAAAAAAAAACTTTCAAAATAACAAATTTCAGCAGCAAAATAGCAAAAGGGGCCGTGGGTATTCCACGGTATCAAAATCATTATGTTCAGAATAGGATCCCACCTGGCAGAAAGAAACCACTTTAGAAAGTTCCCTCGCAAACAAACCACACACATAAATGGTAACACTGCAATTCTTCAAAAGAGAATCTTCTAAATCTTGTAAATTGCAATCAATAATATATGTGTTTTAATTTTTTTTTCAAAACAAATATACATATTAGTTGGTCGACAATCAATGGCTAACGTGTAAAAGTTATGGAACTTTTTATACATTCATCAGATCTTCCTTGGTATTTCGATTGTGCAGTAGCTAGCACGTGCAACAGTTATTCAGAGAGATGGTGAATGAATGAATGCAGTAAAAAGGCACAAAAAGACAAAAAAGTAAAGATAAAAGAAGGTTATGAAAAAGCGAAGAAGATATGATTTGTGTCTCTTTGCCATCGCTTGTAGCAACGAAACACAAATCAATGTCACAACAAACACTAACCGTTCTTCTTTTTCTTCAATTCACATTCTTCATTTCTTCACCAGTCACAAGTTTATACTCTCCTTCACCTCCCGCCGCGCCGTTTTCCCAGACTACCCCTGACCCCGGCTTTTCTCCACGCGCCGAGTGGCTCTTCGCCCACGCCACGCACTACGACGCCACCGACACGCTCGGCGGAGCCTGCGGTTACGGCGACCTCCCCAATGGCATGGCCACCGCCGCCATCAGCCAAGCCCTCTTCGACCGCGGCCAGATCTGCGGCGCCTGCTTCGAGCTCCGCTGCCGCGAGGAGGACACCGACTTCGACCGCCGATGGTGCATCTTCGGCGCGTCGGTCGCTGTCACCGCCGCCAATTTCTGCGCCCCGAACTACGGGTCCGACGCCGAGAGCCTCGGCGGACATTGTAACCCTCCGAAGCAGCATTTTGTTATCCCAATTGAAGTTTTCGAGAAAATCGCAATCTGGAAGACTGGCACTGGCAACATGCCAGTGCAGTATCGCAGGTACTCCTTCGCCCACTCTATCATTTTTTCCATTTCTCATTATCGCAACGCAATATTCTTCATACGCACATTTTACTATTTTAATTATTTCAATATGAACAGGATACATACATACATACATACACACACACATATATATATATATATATATAAGTAATTTTGATCATTTATTACCAGTATAAATGGAATTTTATCTTCATAACTTGTTGGTGTAGTGCACTTTTATAGTTGTGGTGGAGAATTAACAATATCAAGAACATGTTTCAAATTACTCAAAGAAAAAAAAAGCGCTATCAAAGTTTTATTCAAAAAATAAAAATTCAGATACGATTCCTTTTCTTCTTCTTCTTCTTTTTTCATATTTTTTAAGTGATTTTTTGCTAAACTACCACACAAGACTGTAAACACAGTTACTTCTTTAATATTTGTTTATGGTAAGATAAGATTAACTATAAAAATTAATTAAGTATTAAATATAATTAAAAAAAAAAGTTGTTGATAATCTACTTGAACCTGTTTTTCATTTAAAAATGCATACCTAGCAAACACTCACGTTATAGCTTACATGGGTTTCAGTAAAAATAGTTAATAAATTAACCTTATGATGATTTCTTTTGAGATAAAGACAGAGTGCAAACTATAACTTAATTGTAATGTGTTCGTGCTTGACATTTGCTCTTAGCCAAATTCAAGACACTGTAGTGGTTGGAAAGTCAGAGTCTGTATTTTGATTACTATTTGTTTTGATGTTTTTGCATTTGTGTTTGGAGCAGGATAAAGTGCAAAAGAGAAGGGGGAATGCGGTTTACAATTACTGGTTCTGGAATCTTCATTTCGGTGCTGATCAGTAATGTGGGTGGGATGGGAGACATTGTGGGAGTGAAGGTGAAGGGTTCAAAAACTGGTTGGCTTTCTATGGGTAGGAATTGGGGTCAGAACTGGCATGTTAATGCTTTACTGCAGAATCAGCCTCTTTCTTTTGAGGTCAAGGGTAGTGATGGAATAGCTGTTACATCTTACAATGTTGCCCCCAAGAATTGGACTTTTGGACAATCTTTTGAAGGAAAGCAGTTTGAGCATTGACTGATAAATTAACATGTTTGGATTGGAAGGACCATTCTCCTTCCTTTTCCTCTCCCTCACAAGCTTTGTGATGATTTGGATTCTCTTGCACTTGCTTTATTTTTGGAGCATTTAGATGTGTGTAATAGTTCTAGGTCATGGAATCAAACCAGTTATAGGCAATACAGAAGGAATCAATGGTACTAACTTTTCAAAGATTTTCATGAGATTCAATAAACAAAATGACTCCACAAAGTATGAACTTGTTAACCAAATCCATCGTAATGCATGCCATCATTTGTATTTTGAGTCCTACAATCCAACTCAATGACCCTATACTGTGGTTGTCCAGAAATTATTACATAAACAAGTCCTTGACAAAGCAAAAGACATTCAACAATGTTATTCCTATGGTTGATTTGTGTATAATAGTATTAAATTAGTGGGGCAACTCTTGATTATGTAAGATTTAATTAAGTCTAAACAACATTTCAAAGATGAGACCAAAACATATCTTAACAACAATTATCTTAAATAAAAAACTGTTTTTCTTTTTTCATAATGGCAATAACGCCTGTACAGAAAAAAAGTACTTACATTGATGAGTATGTACAAGTAGAAGGGAGGTAGGGATTAATCACTAATATTTAAAAAAAAAAAAGATTTGAGGAGATATCACCTAAATTGTTGTTTTTATAATACAAACCAAAAATATTTTTCAATAAAAATAATTTTGTTAAGTGATTAGAAGTTTTGCTTCATTTTTTTATCCAATAATTTGTTCATCCATTTTCACACTCTAAGTTAAATATCTAAAATACTTTTTTCATAATTTTATTTTTTATTTTAACTTCTTCTTCTTTTATTTGTGTACAATTTATGTATTTCCATCTTTTTGGTTATTTGATTTTTTTTGTCCATTTAAGGTATTTTTTAACAATTAAACATAATATTTAATATTATGTATGAATTATATGTTTCTACGTTCAAATTGTACAAATAGACCCAAATTGATAATCTGAAACAGTATCGTAAAAATAAGGTTGAATTATCAAAAAATCAATTCGAAAATGCATTTTGGATTGACCTTTCCATAAACAAATTCCGGAACACTCAAGCTGGAATGCATTTCTAGATTGACTTTTCTGAAAACGTATTTCGAGTAGGTGTTCTGAAATGTGTTTTCAAAAACCCTTTATGAAAATGTATTCCGGATTTAGTGTTCTAGAATGCGTTTATGGAAAAGCCTTTTTGGAGAAACCTATTCTAGATTAGGTGTTTCATAATGTATTTTTGAAAAAATATTTTTTAGAAATGTATTATGAATTGAATATTCTAGAATGCGAAAAGTCTTTCCAAAAATATTTGGTATTTTGGGATGTATTTGTGGAAAAGCTTTTCAAAAATGCATTATGGAGATAAAGATAAGTACAAAGATAAAAAGATAAAATGAGGTTTAATATAATTGTGGGGGTAGAGGAAAAAATTATGAGGGCGTAGGAAGTAACAGTTGGCTTGAAGTGATGATAGAATTCTTATTTACAACATTCCAATGTATTAAAGAAAAAAAGCCCCAAAGCTCATAGATGCTAGGAAAGAATACATTCCATATTACTATCACCAGCTGTAGTGGGCTTTAGTATGGGCTTAAACCCTAAACAATTAGTCAAGAAACGCTTCTTGGTGGGCTTAAACGCAAAGAGGTTTGATTTGAATCGGGTTTCAACGAATATCTTGAAAACCAAATTAGACAACTCAACAGAAAGTGGCGACTACGTGACCAAAAAGAGGGAGAGGAAGGGAAACAGATCGAGAAAACTTTGGATATCACAAGAAAACAAAGCAGAAACCAACACTATAACAAGTTCAATAATTGTTTACTTTCTTAAGCTTGAATAGAAACTTTTGAGGTAGTTTAAGAGTTTGATATATTATTAATTGCTAACTTAGAGACAACCTTAACGAAATTATAGGTTTATGCTAATATTTATAGCCAGACATGTTCTCACAAAATTTATAGTTAAATTAGACATATAGACATATGATTCTACCAATTTTTTTTTTTTTTTTTGTATTTTTCCTTCATCTAATATGTTCAACAAATGTCATTATTATTGCTTTGGATTAATAAATTTTCATAAAAGAATATGTTATAAAAACTGACATTTATTAACACTAAACATGCATATCTCCAAAAAATAATCTCTGCAAAAAATTCTTTTATTTTAATTTTTATTTATTATATAAAAATTAAAATATAATAAATGCCTTTTGGATCAAATTGTAAGGAAAGAATTTATATTTCTTTAAGCAATAATGTCTTAAAATTGAAGTCTTCTAAAAAAACAAAGGCATGAATCTTGAGAGGGTTCAATCCACTTGAGTTGGATTTGTCGATTTCCATTTCATCTTTCTTGAACTTTCTATTCACAATGAACAAAGGATGAATGACCCAAAGTGAAGTAGGTTTTGAAATTGATATGTTAAATTGATTTTGACAATAAAGTTAATGAAAGAAGGGTTTCAAAGATAAACCAGTTTATCTTTGAATTGATTGATTTGATCCACATTATCTCTTGATTAGGAGAAAGTGTTGATTTCTTATTCCTTGCCTCCATTTTCTTCTTGTAAACATCATTATTCTATTGTAACAAAACATAGTTTTTTAGATGTTGTTATTTTGATACAGGCTTGGATTTTATTTTTAAAAGATAATTTTTCTCTAAATATTTCTAATTTTAGTTTTTAATCAATGAAATTATTAATTTAACGTGTTCAAACAATTATATTATTTTACCTTTTTAAAGTCGAAGGGACGTTGGAAACTCCTTCATCACTTATTTCAGTTTTTCTTAATCGAAAGATATGTTAGAAATAATTTTATATCAGTCTCAATTGAGTCAAATTGATATTAAGTTGAAATTTGACGTCGTATTAATTTTTTTGAAAGAAAATTATACTTTCCACCTAATTCTCCTTTATTGAAAAAATATTATGAAAAAAATCATTTTAAATTAAAATATAACACAGTGAAATTAATTTAAGTAGAAATATTAGGTATGTATACATGCTAACGTAGGTAAAAAATAAATATATATACATTTAAAAAATTTCATCTGCCAAAAGTAAACACACAATTATGTGAGCTATAATACGTAATTTTGGACCACACTGAAAAGTTTGAACTAGGGTGGTCCAAATAAACTATTTATGCAAATGAAAAGGTATCATATATATGTTTGGTAATGGGTAAATAACTTAAACCTAAAATTCAACAACAATATTTTGTGTAGGTATACATACTACTTTCAGATGCACGTGCGTTATCAGAAAGTTTAAATGACTTTTTTTTCCTGTACCCAACCGTATCAAGTAATTAATAATTATATATTATTACACATATTAGTTCAGTGTTAGTGCAAACTTTAAGGACACGTCATCTAAGTTCCTACCAAAATTATGCACAGTAAAACGTTAGGCATGGTCTTCAAAACTTGTTTTCAGTGCCACTGATTTTTTGTTTTCGTTAATGTCTGCAATTTCTTGCTATACCAACAACATTTGCGTAAATATATAGTGTAAAGTAAAAGATTTTTTACCTGTTAATTTGTCATTAATGACAACAATTTGTGGTATGTGATTATTTATTCACTTTTATAATAACTACTATAAAAATCATATATCAACAAGAGTTATGTTTGATATATAGTTATTTTGAATGCAAACTTATTAGATTATCAAAGTAAAACTTGAATTCTCATAGAAAAACAATACCAGAAACACTGGATGAATTGTGTTGAAGTATGTCCAGAAATTTGGTTTATATTTACAGTCAGTCCTTCAACTAATTCCATTTTATTGTTTGACCAACATAATGTATTCTTTTTATTATTGTTTTCTGGTTATCTCATGGATCTGCATATGCTGCCAACTAATAAACCTTCAAACTTGGAAACAAATAAACCAAACGGTTAAGGAAACAACAAGTGATGAGGAATTTGAATGGAGTTTACTCTTTTTGTGTTTGAAAAGAAGGAAAGAAGCTAGGTGCAAGGAAAAGGTAACAAAAGCATAGAAATGGTCCAAAGGGTGAGTGAAATCATATCATGTCTGGTTGCAGCAGACAAGTCCACTAACATGGATCCCACAGAAGTACAAGGGGGTTATATAAGCAAGCTTTGTAGCATGTCCCTTATTATCTCATAGTTGTGACAAGCTATAATGTCTTGTAACATCTTCTAAAATCATGTGGTAGTCTACACTATAGATTATCATTACATGTGTTCAGGGTATGAGATGCCCTTTGAGGGCATTGAAATGAAAACATATCCACATGCCTATTTCAACACGTCACTCTCAACAAATGTTCTTTACCATGAGGCCATTCACATGCTCCAGATAAACCTGAAATCTTTTGAAATTTGGTTAACTAATTAAATTTTTCTCATTATAACTTGTGCGCTTAGCTTTAATGCCTCCCTCCATCCCTTTCAGAGTGCTTTTGTTGAAACCACTTCATAGGATGGAGAAAGGCTTGCAAAAAACAATCACAGTGGCAGCAAGTAAGCAATAAGCATTCGTGTGATTGCCCTTGACGCTTCTTCTGTTTGTGTTAGGCAGTGTTGGCAGATTTTTCTTGGAACTTCATCACTGACAAGTGAGAACAATAAAAGATTTCAACTTTTGTTGTGGACAGTCAATACTACTGGTCTACTATAGCATATAATATCATCAACAACCGCAGGCTGAAGTTACATGTCATATATGGTAATGGACATCTGCATGAGGTTGAGAAAGATAAACTAATTGGTTACATTACATGAAGTGAGGTTGTTGTCAAAGTTGAGGATAAGTTTGATTTGTTAAGCATTAATTGAGTCTTAAATAGTGGATCCAGGTAACAACAAGGATAAACACAGACGTTAATCCACTATAAGTTACAATTAAGACTGATCCATGAACAAGTTTAGACTATGTATTTTCGAAGTGTCCAAGACAAATGCATAGATAATATCATACGAAGTGCATTTATCCATTCAATTTAGTGGGTATGCTGGCCTCAGAGGAAACACTTGTGATTAACAAGTCAAACCACTCCCTTGTAACATTAATGATTAGCATACTTTTATCCAAATTCAATTGCATTGTTGCATTCTTCCAATTATTTCAAGGTAGTTGCCATTCACTATCACAGTTTGAATAATTTTCCCCTGCCAAACTTATCTCCATTGGAAGGTCCTACTCATCTACCTAACTGATTTTGAACTAGTAGTCTTTTTCTTCTCCATCTGAATTAGTGAGCAACAAATGGATGTTGAACCTTTCATCTGGTTTTATAGTATATAACAATAATTAGGATGATAGAGTCTTGAATGTAGGGGCTACTGAAACTGAAACCTCCCTAGCCCCTTATTTTCTTTCTCTATATAGTTTTTTCTATTTCATGTCCTTATGACAGCTGGTCCAAAACATATGGTCTAGATTGGTTAAAACATCTTACATAGCAAAAGGCAAGAAAAACCAAGAACATGAAGAAGATATATGTGTAGCAGTTCAGGGACCCCTTTAGTTTCACACGCACATAGAGGGTTGTTTCTGACCGACAAAATCCCATTTGAGGATTTATAATTGATGAAAGGGAAAATGGGTGTGTCAATTCATGAAAGAAATATCCCTGTAAGTCGGATTTATGGTGGAGCTCGTGATCCAAGTAATCACTGCAATGTCTTTAATTGCTTGTTATTATGTTTAACAACACAAACATATAAAACAGTCCACACCAAGAGGACACTTGACAAGAAGACAACAAGGGCACGTGCATGTCTATCCCTTACTTGCCCATTTTTGGTCACGTTAACAACATTTTAAGACCATTCCATGATGTTCCCCTCAGAAAGAGTGACCCATCTCCTTTTTCTGCATTTCTGTCACATAACTTCATCTCTCTCCCCAATTCCATTCTCTCAAAAATCTGTATTGCATGGGATTGAAGTTGGATCCACCTGCACAATCTAATAACATGTAAGGTTTAAAGAATATTACTTTATAACGTTTTATGCCTTTCACAGGTTACATTGCCAGCTATTTCACAACTGCTACATGTTAAAACTTGGGGGCTTCATTCTATTCTTTCTTGCTCAAAAATTTTAGTAAAATGTGAAAAACATAGAAGGAAAAATACGAGACCACTGATATTTGCAATCACGACATCGAGTTAATGCTAGTAATTCTAAAATATCGTCCTTATTTTAACAATTTATTTGCTTAAAATCTAATAGCAAGAAATTCATTATAACTATTAAATTTTCAATAAATAAATTGTGAAGTTAGATATTTGATATCTCCTTTCTTTACTTAAAATTATTCTTAGAAACTAAAAAATTAATCAATTCTTATATGTTTAAAAATTATTCTGAAGTACCTTGCTATATCTTTCTTATTTAAATTATTATGGAATAAGTTTTTATTGTTTTTTTCTCTATATATAACCAATAATAAAGAAAAAAAAGATTTTTTTTAGTAAAAAGTTTACAAAATCCTTTCTTTATAGCTTTTCTTTACATTCTTTTCTAATTAAACTTCTCCTAATTTGTATTTGGAACGAGAGAAATAAAGCTTAGAAGGAAGAAAATAAAGTATATAAATGATAGTTTTTTTTCTCACATATTATGTGTATTATTTTCTTTCCATTCAACCAAACATCATAAATGTAATATTTTTTTTAGGACATATATAATATTTTGTTTCAACTCTCAGTTCTTTGTAATCAATATATTTGGTACATGTAGGTTGTGGTGTACACATATTATCTTAAGTAATTTGACGATATTCTCAAATATAAATTGGAAATTTATCTTGATAAGTAATACTAGTCTTTAATCTTTATTATAAATTATTGAAGCGAAAAATATTATTTTATTTAGAGATTAAGTGTTTGAGAAAACCATTTTTGTTATTTACTCTTGTTTATAAAACAATTACTGAAATTTAGCAAAGTGTTTTTCGTTAAACAAAATTGTTTTATGAGTATAAAAAATGGTAATTAATTTTAACAGATTTTTCCTTTTTCAACTGTGTGAATATAAACTGAATTTTTATTATATCTAACAAAATGAATTGATTTATTTAAGAAAAACTGACCTAATAAAAAAAGTACGAACAAAATTATTACACGTGAGTTTTGTTGTTACTGTATTCTTTTAAAATGAGGGGTATATAATAGATTTGAGATAATGTTGGTGAAGCTTGAAGAGGTAGGTAGTGATGGTAATGGTTAGAGTAGGGTTTAAGCTCCTATGCCCTAGATAGGTTGAGAAAGAAGACCTGTCTAATCCTTTAAGAAAGGAGCATTGTCCAACTCATTACTCATCCTTTCAATCACTTGACAATATTCCCATGGACTCTACCAAAAACAGTTGTGGAGAAGAAAATATAAAAATAATTTTATTATTATTATTTAAATATGATTCATATTCACTCAATTATCATTGAAACACAGTAAAATTATATTTTTATGACATGTACAAAATTAAAAATTTGAAAAATTATTTATTTTTTAAATATGAAATTAAAGTTATGAAAAAATTAAATTATAAACTAAAAATAAATAGAATAGAAAAATGTATTTTTTTATAGAGATTATCAATCACAATGAAAAACATGTATAACGTACAATTATAAAATAAATAAAAAAATTAAAGAGGATTGAGTTTTCACTATGAAGAAGTTGGTAAAAAAAATGTTAGTTATCTGACTTGAGTAGAATGTTTTTGTTTTGAACAATTTTTTTTTATAATTAAGAAATTTGATAAAAAGTGTTGGAGCATTTATTCAGGTAATGAGAAAAAAATATATAGAGATAGAAGAAGAATGTGAAGTTAAATCGATCACATCCATGATTTAAAATGATGAAGGCAAAACTCTAAATTGATATTCTAGTAACATAAATTTACAAAAAAGAACAATTATAATATTCACATAAATTTTGCTACATAACTCACCTACGTTGCTATTGATCAATGTTAATGATGATGGGTAAATTAGATGTGTGATTAAATAGGAATTAGTTTTTTTAGACACATTAAAAAAAAAAAAAATCTCAACCCTAGTTCCACCTACTTCAAAATAAATTTTGTCTACCACAAGAGATTACCTAAACACACTGTGCAAATTGATTATCCTCAACACTATCAATGACCATTTGACCTTAAACCAAACTATACTTAACCAATTACCTACTCAACTGTTCAAATGGTCCATCTTCTTCTTCTTTTTAAAGCATTTGCGTGCAAGAAAAAGAAAAACTTTGTAATGCCCTAAAAAATGCTATTTGTGGAATAGTGAATTAATTGTAGAACTACTCCTTACTGCTCACGAATACATAGAATATTATTACTATTCTTATTGTATATTTAATATCTTTTAATATATTTCACTAATTTACCTTCTTAATAAGATAACATATCTTCTTTATTCTATCTTTAATTAATTAATAGGTTATATTGGATTATCATAACTCATTGACATATTTATTATTATTATTATTATATATATATACTTTATCTTTATTTTTTATCAATTATTAACTCTCTTTTTCAAATAAAAAACTTAAAAATATATTAAATTACATTTATAATCATTACAACAGTTAATTATACCTATAATTGTTTCTAATATCAAAACATGATATTTAATTATTTTTTCTAACAATTTATTCCCTTTAAATAAGATTTTAAGTATTGTTTATTTTATTTACATGTTAAATATAAATTCAAACTATGATGAAATAAATGAGATTTTACTTTTCATCTAATTTAAGATGTCCAACTAAGGAAAATTTATAGTTTTCCATAAATTTAAGATCGGTTGGAATACATTTAAAAAATAACCCGTAAATAATGTTTTTGGTAATGTTTTCCATGAAAACATCTATATATGAAAAAAATGAGAATATAACTTTCTTTAATTGAAATAAAAAATAATAATTGATCTTTTATTAAAATATTTAATAGGACAGCAATTAACTTTTAATAAAAATAATAAATTACTGTTTTTTTTTTAAATCCATAAACTAGCTAAACAAATTTTAGTTATTCCTATAAGTCACTATTTTCAACAATATTTTTCTCTTCATTTCATCTTAAATAAACTGTTGTATAAACCCTCGTTTAATAAAAGAATTATTTAATAAATAGTTAAACTATTTACTCAAGTAATATTAATTTAAATGTGTACTGAACAAAATTGAAATAATTTGTACTTTTATTAATATATAGCTTCCATTATTTTTATTTATTTTACTTTTAACACGAATATATATAACCCCACTTTGAAATCTTCGTACCTGATGATGGTATGTTACATAAAGCTGTACGAACAACTATGCTCATACTTGTCGGGTCACCATGTCTATTATGTCAAATTACCGACTTGGTATTGAAACAAAACAAAATTAATTCACATGTTCTAACATTGTTTACCCTGTTAATTTTTATAATAGTTTTTTAATATTATTTTTATTAATTTACGTTTTTTTTTATAAAATTAAATTTAACGCTGATATATTTAACATCTTAAATTTATTTTATTTTTAGAGTGTTTATTTTATCTTGCATGAATATACATAAAGACAATAAATTTACGATAATGAACCTCCTATACACAAAGACCATAATTTTACGATTAAACGTGTCTACTACTTCAAAAATTGAACAATGGTATTAATAATGATACAAAATTACATCAAACAATAATTAAAAACCAAAACATGTACACTACAAAGAAAAACTTTATCTTATTTCATTTCACTCAATTTGTTTATGTTTCTTTTGGTATCTTTTACTTTCACTTTATTATTTGTTTGTCTTGTAAATATGAATCACACATACCACACTATATTTTTCTTTTACAGTGTCATTAGGTTAAAAAGGCTAAATCCATTTGTACCATCTACATGAATTAATAATTATTTGTCTTGAACTATCCAACGCATAAGTTAAACAAAGTTAGATTTTCAGTTAATCCATGGAAGAGTAACTTTACTCACGAGGTGACCATAAAAAAATTGTCTCTGTGAACAACACAAGGCATGGCAACATTTAATACAACAAATAAGTCAAGAATATGCATCAAACACTATGTTGTATAATTCTATTACATATTGCTGTTGTGCTGGTTTCATTTGGACAAACTTGTCTTCATGTCCAACATGGACCACTCCTCTTCAAAAGGGAAAGCTACCTTTTAAGATTATTTCTTGATTAATGAATTAATTAATGAATTATATTATTAATAATCTTTGGGTTTGTTTGGAGCCAAGGGATTAACACATTATTGCATTGGGATTATGTAACTCACTGTTCATTAAATTTTGTTAACTAAAAACGAAGACACTGGCTTCCAGCGGTTTTCTCGTTGCTTCGTGATGCCATGTGAAGACAAATCATTTCGAATGAACAAAAGATAAAAAAGAAGAAGAAGGTAAACACAGTTTCAAAAGAACCTGCAAAAGAACATGATAATTAATGACTTAATGCCCTTGTACCGTTTCAATTCTTTATCTCTAAAACTAAATAATCTATTTTCTGTAACATCCCATTGACGACTTAAGATAAGAGTGTGGTTTGGTACAAGTTTTTGTGATAGAATGGCCGCAAATAATGTATTGAATTTCATGTGGCGATGATTGTAGAGTTTTTATTATTTTATTGATGGTATTAGTTGGCGAGGTGCACGATGAACAGCATCTAAGAAAAAATGAGAAGCATGGAATGGAATAATATGAATGCATGATGTTGTTATCTGCGTTGAAAAGAAAGATAGAAAGACCATTTTGTCTCTATTTTAGACTTTAGGCGTCACCAAGATTCTTCTTAAAAGAGCCATCCTTTTAAAAAGACATCAAAGTTAAAGTTGCTTTTGGATAATGATTCACTGTTTAGATACTAATCTCTTTTGGTTTAATTAGCGTTGTAGCCCTTGTGTTTCTCATTTTTGGGAGCGTTTTGGCAACACAATCATGCAAAATTGACATGTTTGCAGCAAGAATTTTGAAACCTAAACATTCACATTACTCCAAAACTTTCATCATAACGAAGAATCCTCGTGGGGTTAAAATTATTACAATTGTCAACAGTCAAAAGGAATTGGGTTCAATCATTGAGAGATAAGGAATCCGTTGAATGAGAAATTGCACGTTGCTGAGTTACCAACTCTTTTATTTTACTTTTTTTTTCTTCCTCATTGCTTGTCATTACTTTGCACTTTGGCGTCTGCTTGCATAGATAATTCATTAGTAAAAGAAAATATTAAAAGTTTAACACAAGATAAAACTTTCGATATTTTTTAATCCATTTTTTTTATCACAAATTTCTCCCAACATCATGTACACGTTTTTTTACTGCATGTATCATCATTTCAGCAATATATTAGCTCATATTATCTAATTTTAAAATGTGCGAAATATTGGAGACCCTATTTAACTATTTTTTTAACGTAAGAAACACTACTCTAATGTGTATATATATATATATTTATATTAACCTAAGTTTAGGAAGTTTATTTATTTATTTATTTATTTTACTGAGAATTTGTTTGCATCAAATTGTCCATATCCTCGTAGGCTTCTATTATATATTGGGACAAGAGCAATGATTCGAAGCGAGGGGAATTTTCTGTGAAGAATGCTCAGAGTGATGCACAGTGAAAACAAACAGAAAGTTTTAAGGTGAGAAAAAGGAAGACACAGCACTCGCACACAGAAACAGAGTGTCATCTTTCAGTTCAGTTCAGGTTCTCAACATTACGAACCATCACATTGTCTACCACGGAAGCCACTTTCGATTCCCTTCATCATTCAGCACTTGAAACAGGGCAAATTCTCGGTAATTTTTTAGTTGCTTTGATTCTTGTTTGCTATGCATTTCTCTGGTGCCGATTTTTCTTCCCCTTTGGGTTTGCCTGCTTTCTATTCTCAAAGTTATAGTCATGTAATTAAGAAAAAGAGTGAACGAAAGTAGAGAAAATACGCTTAATTTTCTTCCTCTGATTGTTCCTTCACACACAGCTCGCATCACACAATTTTGGATAATTCGAAACTCTGTTGAGAAGGGACGAATCGTGTTTCTATTGTGAAAGCAATATTAATTCATATTCAAAACGCAAAAAATTGCATCTAAAAAGTAAAATTAAAAATTCTGTAAGTTGTCAACGTGAATTACTGATAAGGATCTTAGTTTGAAATATGTGACAAGGAGAGAAAAAAAACGGCACCGTTTTCACCTATGCGATGAAAGCTTGTAGATTAAGAATAGATTCTGATGCTGACTCTGAATTGGTTTCCCTACTTTACCAGACAGTCATCCTTTCATTCCTTTTTGTATTTCCCTTCCTCTCCTCTCTCCCTCAGACTACTTTCTCAAAAATTCATTTGAGAAAAAGACTGATGGAAAAGGGCATTTTGGTAATTCCTCTCTAAGGTCACATCCACCAACTGCGTCTGCCTTTATTTCCGCTGGCGGAGATGCTCTTCATGCTCCTTGCTGGCTTTGCTCTCGCCGCCGTCGTCTTCTACGGCCGCGGTGAGTGAAAATTTAAGATCTCTCTAACGAACGAATTAGAGACCGCATCGCAATCGCATGCTTTCCTCTCATTTTTTTTCTCGCCTGACTCTCTCCGTAGGGTCGCCGCTCGTCCGTACGCCGCTGCTCCCTGCGGCGCGCCTGGGATATAGGTATCAGGGGACATAGGGCTTTTTTTTTCTTCCAAAGCTATTTTATTTTATTTATTTGTTTATTTATTTTTATTCCCTGAGATGTAAGGGAGAACTGGGTCAGCCCAGCTTTTACTTTTTTTTTTTTGTTATGGACCTTGTTGTTTCAATTGAGGGTCCATTTCGTTTGAAAATGTAGTACGCAAGGTTAGTATGTTGTGCAATAAAATCTGGTTTCTGAACTAGAAAAATTACTGTAAAGAAAAAAAAATTGAAATTTCTGCTACACTGTAAGAATTTATCTTTTAAGTTTTGTTTTAATTATATATTCTAAATTGATGTATACGTTTTCTCTAAAATAAGTTTAGAGACTAAAATTACTAATGCAATATTTAATTTAATAGAGACAAAGTTAATTAGACGCTACAATTTTTCGATATTGTGTTTGAAGAGTGAATTTTAAAACTGCAAACAAATTTAAATTGCTTTAATTTATTTTTTTAATTTAATTATTTTTGTTCAGATAAATCAAGTTTAAAATATGCTTTGATAAAAAAAAGTGAACTTATGAGTGAACTTAAAATTAGTGAATTCCTTTTTAATTCCAACTTCCAAGACCACTGGAACAAATATCAAGTAATTGTGCCGTTTTATTTGAAAAGGAGAGTTGAAAACGACCATGTGCAAAAATGCAGGTTAACCATACTATTACTGTATTGGAAAATGGGCGCGAATTATATTCTGAACTACGCACGAATCATTAAATTCATTGCTTAGTAACGAGATATTCTCTTTCCTCTAGTCGCCTAGAATTTACCTAAGATATAGATAATGATAGGCATCAAACTACTGTTGCCTTTCTTATGCTAAAGAATTAGGTTAACAATATCATATGCATTTCCTACTTCACATAGCATAGGTCATAATATAGACCCCCCAATTAAGTTAGAAGCGTGACTAAAATTTCGAGGGATTCATGCACGTAGAATAGAAGGGTAGGTTGATGTGCCGTACCCATAGGCGTACTTTTCCTTTATTGCTTCAGTCGATGCATGTTGCTTGCTTAGTATATTATATCATATATGTAGCAATTAGAGTTATATTATTTTTCACACGAGACAAGGTTACAACTAGAGAGATATATAAACGCTTACTAGTTAATTTTTCAGCTTGAATAAATATTTCGTTTAGATAGGATACGAATAAATGAATTTCATTATTCAATTTTGTTGAATTGATATACTTACGCTTGAATGAATGAAGGGCCAATCTGTTTCCCATCGTCAATCGATTATTCCTGCCATCTCGCGTGAGTGTCAAAGTTCAATTACTCAATTACATGTGTTTAATTGTATTTCTATTTTCATTTACTTGATGCAGCAAATTTTAGAGTAGTAACCTAGACATTGAATTTGTATATTGATGACAAGTGGTAGTTTTATTTTTTAATTGTTGGGCAATTGGCTAGTACATTAATTAGCTAATATTGTCCAAATATAGACCTCCCCTGTATGCAGTGAATTATTATTATTATTATTATTATTATTATTTTAGTGGATTATTTTTTTTATAAACGAGAAACTAATATATTGAAATACGGTTTGAAGTAAAAGGTGAAAACTTCTCTTAATATTTTTCTTATGAGAAATGTCAATTAGTATTTTAAAATTATAATTTTTTTATTTAAAATGTTATTAATGAATCTATTCGACTTCTTCTTTCTCTTCTTCTCATTATTATTATTTTATTTTTTGTTACATTTGCAACATATTTTCACTAAGGCATTAATTTTAAGATCTTAGTTTATATGCATAAATTTTGATATCAAACCTAAAATTTTTCTTTTTATCTTGTTGTTCTATGAAGTGAGTTATTAGTCATTAAAAGGTAATTATGCAATACTAACCAAAATTGTTGTATACTATTGTGTAACATTTTCCTCCAAATAATAATTAGTGATAAATGAATGAGTAAAGTACATCATGATATTGGATTGATCACATTCATATTTTTTCGGTTGTTTCTTATGTTGCGTTCTTCTGTTCATTCAGACACTTCAGATAGCAAAAGAAAGAGAAAGAGAGAGCATCATCTGCATTCTTACTTCTCATCAATCATTTTGCTGTCAATTATAAGGTTCCACATATTGTGAAAACTGAGAAAGGACTCTTTTCTGTGTTCCTTGTCTGCCATTCTCTCTTCCATGAAACTACAACATGACAATGGAAGAAGAGTCCTTGGCAACAGTCCCATTTGACAGAGCTATTGAACAGGTCATGTTTTTCATTTTCTATTTATAGTTAGCATTATTTCAAAGTCATGCTCTCTTTAGTGTGGTTTACATGTTCGCAAGTTTTTCTCTTTTTTACAATCTCTTATATTGTTTTAGTTTTGAAATGATTCCTGGGTTTCATTGCTAATGAAACATTCTCCTTTTTAGTAGTGTTTTTTAAGTTGTTTGATTCTGTGATTGAAAATATAGTATCCTTAAAAATGTGCATGAACGGTAAGGGAGGGCATTTTCAATTCTTGTTCAAAGTTTAGAACCCCTTCGTTATAATTCATTGGTTCATGACAATTACACATGTTGAATTTCTAGTATAAAATATTTGTTTATTAAATGTAATTTATACTTCAATTTCTTAATTTTTCAACGCATATCACCCGATATACATATTTTTTGGTGAAATCACCCGATACACATTCATGTAGTTATTATTGATTATTCCCTTTTCGTTGGTAAAAATTCCGGGATGAAGTGGTTGTCCCTCCGAAGTAATTGTTCTATAAACGTACAAAACGAAGGACTAGTTATTACTTTTTGTCAGTTTGGTTATTGCATGATTACATTGTATGTTAGGGTTCACCAATGAAACATATGATTCCACTTTCAATCTAAAACTTTATAATATTAGGTTTGTGAATTTTTTTCACTTATATATTATTCAACTTATATATTATTCAACTTTTTTATTTGTATCTAATATGAAACTTTAACTCAAGCCTGAATTCTAATATAGTAATTTATTTTCTTAGAATAAAAGATTATCAGAACACATTAACGTGTTTATGATCTTAATTGTTGTGTCTCTCTACTTATTTTCTTTTGAGTATGCAAACATTCCTACACTGGTGATATTCAGAAATTGATGTGGATCAGTATACAGACTAGACTTTAACTCTTTGTCTTGAAATAGCTAATGTAATTTGATATTTTGATTTAGTTTTTATATTTGTGCAATTTTTTGTACTGTTTGTTTACGTTATCTCTTAGAGAATTGTTTTTCCATTTTTCCAACACTGAAAATTTGGTTTGTCTTTCTGTTCAGGCAATTGTGTCTATCAAAAAAGGTGCATATTTACTTAAGTGTGGTCGTAGAGGAAAGCCGAAGCTCTGCCCTTTCAGACTTTCCCAGGTAGGCTATAATGGGATGCCAAATCAGTTTAAGAGGTTCATATGACCACTCCTTTAATATGAAACTTGCCCATAGATCACATTTCTTAGTACATTTTCTTCTGCAGATTTATTATGAGTATTGAATTTAGAAGCATCGTACACGGGGATGTTTCGAACAGTTATCCCATTTGTCTTTCGCAAATATTGCCTTTGAATTTCTAATGTTATTTTATATCTATACTATTCTTAAAAAGAGAAGCAAGATTCTTCGGTGGAGAGGAGTATTACTGTTTTTTTGCCTTTTTTCGGTGAACTTTTGTATAATAGAATCTATTGATGGAGGAAAATTTAAGTTTTCTTTATATTGAACACCAGTTTTGAAAAAAATTAGATCTGTTGTGTTTTGTTGGGAGAAATGGTAAACATTATTGGGTTTGAAATTTCATTAATTGTCCTTATTTATTATGATGAAGTTGCTAAAATATATCTTCCTCTTCTCTGATTTTAGGATGAGAGAAATTTGATTTGGTATTCAGGACAGCAGGAAAAGCATTTGCGATTGAGTGTAGTTACAAAAATTGTTCAAGGGCAAGAAAATGTATGTAAAGAACATCCGTGTATTCTCACTTTATGCATTGTCCACGTGAATACAACGGCTTGAAATAGAAATAAAAATCATGTTTTGGTCTAATGAATAGCTCACTATTTTCAGATAAGGTCCCAGAGGCAAAATGAACCCGAAAAGCAGTGCCATTCGTTTTCGCTAATCTATGCTAACGGTGAACGTTCTCTTGATCTGGTAATATTTGTGAATTGTGATTAATATCTGATATATAACTGCATTTGTTTTCCAATATGTATAGCTTGATTAGACATTTATTTCTTTTGAACAATAGATATGCAAGGACAAAGCACAAGCTGCTTCTTGGTTTGTTGGCTTGAAAGCTGTTATATCTAGGTGTCAGCATCCTCGAGCTTTTAGTAGTTTAAGAAGTTGCAAAGGGGTTCAGAGTTGTGTTAGTAGTCCTGCTGGAATCTTACGAAGAAAGAAAAATCTTGGCCTTCTGGATGATACCTCTCAGTTTACTCAGGTTTCATACGTCTTCTTTGTTAGGTTATCTTGGTATAATTAATGAAAAATATTTTCCTGGTTACCATACATGTATAATAATCTAACATAAGGGGTTTATAAGAAAGGAAAATCTAATTTTCAACGTTCATATTAAATTATGGATTTTTTTTCCTTTTGTAGTTATTGTCATATGCTATAAATTAAAAGGTTTTAAATTTGTTAAAACAAAGAAAATGTTTTTTCACCTCCGCTAATTACATTGAGCTTCCTGATGTTATTTTCAAATCTTTCCTGTTCTGAAGGGTGGTAAATGCTAAATAAGATTATCTCATTTCTGAATATTTAGGTTTAAAAGACATGTGCTTTATTTCGTGGAAAATATTTTGGGCATTGATTACAGTTGACTAGCTTAATTTTCATTAGGTTTTATATCCATGCTCGTCAGGAAAAAGAAAAGCAATAATAAAAAGGATGTATGTAGCTATGGATGTGTTTGAATTTCTGCAAACATACATTTTATTTGTTTGTTTGACTAATCTGTCTTTTTCATTCTCGTCTAGATTCTTAACATTAAAATCAAATATGTCATTCATTTGATATTCAGAGAAAACATCATTATCATTGATCTTCTAATGATTTTTTTTTTTTGGCATAAATGATTTTAGACTTTCAAATTTTATTACTTAAGCTAAACATAGAATGCTGAAGTTTTGATGATAATATCACGCTAGAAGCAGTTTGCATTTACTTATTTCTCTTTGCCTTGTTAATATAAATAACCTAGATGTCACCTTCTTTAAAAATAAAAATAAAAAATTGTCACAGAGACATAAATCTAACTTTGTTATTATTTTGAAGGTGCATAGCTTATGTGCAAGTCCTACTTTGTCACTTTCCGAAAGGTGCTTTTCTGATGGCTTGTCATGTACTTCTGATAACTTGTATTCATCCACGTCTTTCCCCTCCAGCACTCATGGTGTAACAGATAATTCAGTGCCAAGTTCTCCATACATTGATCCAGATGTTCATAGTAACATTGAGTCAGCTCGCATTGATAAGGAGCACAAGAAGAATTTGTCCTATAGGAATTTGATGCATTCTACCTCTGCACGTTTAGGAAAAAGTAATGTATTGAAGGATGTAATGATATGGGGTGGAGGGATTGGATGTCTTGTAGGGATTGTGAATGAAAGGTTTGTTCAAGGTGGGGTCTATTCTTTAGTGCCAAAGTTACTAGAATCCACTGCAATGTTAGATGTACAGAACATAGCTTTGGGAGGAAAACATGCTGCCTTAGTTACAAAGCAAGGGGAAGTTTTTTGTTGGGGTCAAGGACAGTGGGGAAAATTGGGACAGAAAATTGATATGGACATTAGCTCCCCAAAAATAGTTGATTCACTTAATGGTCTTCATGTAAAACATGCTTCTTGTGGTGAGTATCATACATGTGCTTTGACAGATTCTGGTGAAGTATATACTTGGGGAAATGATGTCTGTTGTGCAGATTTGTTTAATGAAGGGAGAACTAGAAGTCAGTGGATACCGCAAAAACTTGGCGGATCCTTAGATGGTATTATTATCTCAAGTATTGCTTGTGGAGAATGGCACACTGCGATTGTCTCTAGTTGTGGGAGGTTATTTACTTACGGAGATGGTACATTTGGGGTTCTTGGCCATGGCGATCTTCGGAGCTGTTCAAGTCCAAAAGAAGTTGAATCTCTTAGTGGACTGCGGGTGAGGTCTGTTGCCTGTGGATCATGGCATACAGCTGCTATTGTTGAAGTCATGTTTGATCGTTTTAGGTACAATAGTGCTAGTGGTAAGTTGTTTACATGGGGTGATGGAGATGAGGGGAGGCTTGGTCATTCTGATTATGGAAGCAAGCTTGTACCAACATGTGTTACACAACTTGTGGACTATGATTTTGTTCAAGTGTCATGTGGAAGAATGTTGACTGTAGCACTCACAAACATGGGCAAGGTTTTTGCAATGGGAAGTGCCAAATATGGACAGTTAGGAAATCCACATGCCAAGGATAAAGCAGTCATGGTTGAAGGACAACTCAAACAAGAGTTTGTTAAAATTATATCAACTGGTTCATATCATGTTGCTGTTTTGACTTCTGCAGGGAGTGTCTATACATGGGGCAGGGGTGAAAATGGCCAACTGGGGCTAGGTGATACTGAAGATAGATATACACCTTGTTTTGTTGAGACTCTTAGAGATAGACAGGTAAATACTATCACTTGTGGTCCAACCTTCACAGCTGCAATCTGTTTACACAAACCTATTTCTATTAGTGACCAATCAACTTGTAGTGGTTGTAGGTTGCCATTTGGGTTCACAAGGAAGAAGCATAACTGCTATAACTGTGGTCTTTTGTTCTGTCGAGCTTGTAGTAGTAAAAAGATTATAAATGCACCTCTAGCCCCCAGTAAGAGCAAGGCTTTTCGGGTTTGTGATCAGTGTTTTGATAAACGACAGGGAGGTACACATTCTGTAATGCCATCAAAGTCCAGAAATTTCAACAGTCAACAGCTGTTGAAGCATCAACAAAAAATTGCTGATGTGACTGAAGACAGGGGAGAGACAACCGTGACACAAGGTCCTTTACTATCACTAGGGCAATCATGTTACAGGAAAAGTATGCCAAGTGGACGTAAGGATTGGAAAAACCACCCAGAAAGCCAACAGGATGTTGAAGATAGTTCTTCTATGCTAGGTGGAATGCCACAATGGGGGCAAGTTCCATGTCCTGCCATATTTAAAATTAATTGTACAGAAAATCCAGTTCATGTTTCTTCATCCAAGAATAAACTAGCCACAGTTTCTTCTTTTAATGTGGAATCTACAACATGTAACTTCTCTAATGTACAGACAGATACAACAAAGTCTGACAAGATGCTCCTCGAAGAAGTTCATAGATTGAGAGCCGAGGTATTGACGCTTGATAATATCAGCATTTAAATTGCTTTAGTTTTAACATGCTTGTGTTACAATGTGGTAAATCCATGTCAAAAAACTGTAAAATTATATTATTTTCCTGCTATATTTTTCCCTTTTGATGACTTTTCTTGTTTTCACTATAAAATTATCTATTTGTATATACACATCATAACTATACTGTGAAATCCATAACCACATAATTGTTGAAACCATTTTTCTTAATAAAAAAAATGTTTACCAAATGCTTCACATCTAGACTATTGAATCGTGTAAACTTCCTTTGTCATAATTGTTGTTACATTTTAGCCTTTAGGGTGACCATTTCTCTTATGAGTTATTTATACCCTTTAACTGTAAATTAAACTTTTACTACTCTATTACTAGTTGCATTCATTTTGTAATCTTTATTGATTGCGCTCACTTGTCATATACTGATATTTCATATCATTGGATAGGCTAAGAGACTTGAAGAGCAGTGTGAGCTTAAAAATCATAAAATACAAGAGTGTCAACAAAAAATTGAGGAGAGTTGGTTTGTGGCAAAGGAGGAAGCTGCTAAGTGCAAGGCAGCAAAAGAGGTCATAAAAGCTTTAGCACTAAGGGTATGTTCTTTATTATCAGGATAATTATTTTAATTTAGGTTTAAGTTGGAATCTAGAATTTTCAACTTCATTAAGTTAATTTTTATAATATGCATAAGGTAGTAGTAAGATGCATGGTTTCGAAAACCAGATCGGTCGGTTTAATTGAATTAGCCGGTTTAGTTTTTAGATCAAAGGTAAAAAAAAAGAAATATTGAAAGATTAATTTTTTTTATAATTTATTTATAAAGGATATAATTTTTTTTTTAGTCTTTTTCTTCTTTTATTTCATATAATTCATACTGATTTTAAATAATAGCTATTTTATTATATTTTTATTTTATTTTTATAATTATCAATCTTTCTTTCTTTATTATATTTATATTTATAATCTTGATTGTAATATGGTTTATTATTGTAATTAGGTTTTTTAATGAAAGTTGATGTTATTAATGAATATATTTATTACATTATTATATTATAAAATATTCTATTTATTAAATTTGATTGAATCCGATTAAATCTTTAAATTATAAATTTATGTCTTCGTGAATTCAATATCATCCAATTTGAAAAACATTAAAACATTAAACAGTTATAATAAAATGGAAAAATAATGATTATATCAATCCGTTGAAGCTTTAGAAATTGGTTTTATTTAGTATTTCCAATGTAAGGATTCTAAGTTAAAATTACTTTTCTAAATTGCACTTGTCTAATAATGAAACAGTGAGTAGAATTGTAGTGGTTAAATTTTCCCAACAAAATTCAATATGAATTTTCTAGCATTGACTATATATAACACAAGGGCACTAAATTAGGATATGTAATTTGTGAATGATATTAAAGTTATGTAATCTTTATAATTTGGCCTCATATTCCTTAAACATGTGATTGATGTATCTATCACCGTTGCAGCTTCATACAATATCAGGAAAAGATAACTCTGGACAAGAAGCAAAAGTTGGACAACGTGAATATGTTCCTAATGTAACACCTATAGTTACAGATGTGAAGAGTCCAAGAGATGGCAATATGGACAGTCTATCCAATTCTCCTATAGTATTTTCTGACACATTAAAATCCAAATTTGGGAGAAGCATGCTCCCCAAAAATCAAACTTCTAATTTAAATAGAGCAGAATCTCAACCAGACAATGGCTTCAAGGCCGAATGGGTAGAACAATATGAGCCAGGTGTTTACATCACATTTACAACCTTACCATGTGGGAAAAAAGGCCTTAAGCGAGTGAGATTTAGGTAATGTCTATTGACCTAATGGTTAGCCATATCAAATTCACTGATTAATCATATTTTTTCACACACTTTATCATCAGAAAATCTATGGTTGACATATTTGCACCATTGTGAAAAGTATACGTGGGGTCATAATACGAACATATGCAAGAAATATTACTAAAATTTAATGATGGTATTATGTGCTCTTCCTGTGCCTACTTATGTTTTTTTTTTTTTTTCTGTTAAGAAGAATCCTCAAAAGCTGAGATCTGGGACAAAGTTTACCTATTTCATACTTGAAACTTTTCACAATGAAAATCAAGCCCATACTTTCTTTTGATACTTGGTAAAATCTTACATGGTCCAAGTATGATAATCCTTTTCATCATGATATTATAAATTGTCAATTTTTAGTTTATTTTATTATGTGATGGTTGTTGAAGATCATATAGAATTCACCTGATAATGTATTGTTTGAATGACTGTCATGACATGTGTGGTCTGCAGTCGCAAGCGATTCTCGGAGAAGGAAGCTGAAAAATGGTGGGAAGAGAATCAAGGCACAGTGTATCACAAGTATGGGATTGAAGGATATACAAATACCAGCCAAAATCAGGTGAAAGGCTAATTTTTACTGCCATTCATCTCTAGCAGTTTTCACCGTGGGTAAGAGGTGATATTGGCTTTAGGCCTAAAAGAAAGATCAAGTGTATAGTCACAAATAATAGCGTGTCTTTCGTTCATGAGTATCTTGGGGCATTCATTCCGGTGTACAGTCACAATAACATGTCTCTTAATTTTGTCTATTCTATTTCTACATTATAAAGTTGATCAAATTCCATTTCTAATATTTTAATTTTCCAAGATGGAATGAAAAAAATAAAACAAAATCAACAGGTATGAATAAAAAACTAGAGACCAAAATGAACACATTTCTATTTTAGGAATTGGAGTAGTTATTTAAGCCAAATTAAAATTGTGCATATTATGTAAGGTGCGCAAAATTGACAAAAGAATAAATATTTTAGCGCAGCTTAATTCACCTTTCCAATTTCAGGTTCTAACAAGAAACTCAAACAGAGAATGAATTCGAATTCATGAAGTCAATCCAGCTCACTCCAAATTTGGACAGATTGATATTGTGTTAGAAAATCAAGAATTTAAATAATATTAACACAAAAGCACCTAATTCACTTGATCTGGGGACCAAACAGATCACACTAATGTATATGTACTCGTGTCACTCAATATCTTATATTCATTAAGGTTGGTTTCATACTTTGGTATTTTTGAGACTTAAATATTTGAACTGATTTGCAATGTCACCAAAGAAAAAAGAAAGAAAAATATACAGTTCAAGAGATACAGACGTGACAAGAGATGATGAAAAGGTAGAATGAATTATAAGAATATATAGTCCTATTAATAGTTAGAGAAGATGAATGGAACCACACTATTTCATAATGAGTTAAGCTTCCTATTTTAAATTTTGAAAACTGGTTTCAATTTATTTAAAAAAAAAAGGTGTTATATTTAAGTTTTTACATAGGTTTCCAGCAATGTTATTAGTAATAATAATATAGTATTATAGAAATCTACATGTAAAAGTCATTTAATATATACATATAAAAAATATCAAAAGAAGACAAATTAAATTATTTTTAATTTTTAATTTTTAAAAACAGTTAGAAATCTATTTTTAAAAAAATTGTTTTCAAAATAAATTAAAAGAAATTGTTTAATAATTCTATTTTTCATATTATTTTAATAATTATAAAAAATTGTAATAAAACTTGAGAATAACTTTATCGTGAAAATGAGTAATTTAATATAATTATTAATAAAAATATTAATAATATAAAATTAAAAGAAAAACATATTTTTTTATTAATTTTGATTTAATTTTAAAAAAATTAACATAGTTATCAAACAATATTTTTATTTTCTAGAAACTAAAAAAAAACTATTTTTAAAAACAGTAACAAATAAACTTAAAGATAATTTGCTACAGTTTTATAAATTAAAATAATACTAATATAAAATGATAGGCTGCATAATTATTATTTATTTTTTTTGCATATTTCAATTTCGTAGATATAAATTTTCAATCCAAAAATTTTAAAATGGAATGAGTTTAATAATAGGCATAACTCCGTTAACTTAATATTTTATTTTTAATAGAATTTGTCTCGTGTCATTTTAGATGAATAAAACATATAATAAGTATAAAATGAAATAAAAAATAAGTTTCGTCTATACTTTTTTTCTATTACATATTTAAAATGAAAAATCTTATATTGTTTGAGGTTGACTTATGTCATCTTTAATTTAGATTATGCATGGTCTAAAAATAAATAATTTTGAATTTTAAAAAGAAATTTAAAAATTACAAATTACGTATGGTTCGAAAGTTTTTTAAATCTAGTTTTGACATGTTATATTAGTTCTAGAAAAAACACCTACCATGAGAAAGAAAAGTGAATAAAGTAAAATGGCCTCATGTGAAAGTTTTAAAATCAAATTAAAACACTGCTACAGTATATGCCTTTCAACGTCGGTTCTATAAGGCTTTCAACGTCTGTTATACAACCGACATTGTATCAAGCGATGTTGAAAGTATACACTTTCAACGTCGGTTCTCTATACCCGACGTTGAAAGTTTTGCCTTCAACATCGGTTATTCATAAGCGACGTTGAAAATGTATACTCGTCGCTCAAGCGAGTACACTCGTCGCTCAAGCGAAATTGAACCGAGAGACCCCTTTGTTTGAAGCTTTCGTCGCTTAAGCGAGTACACTCGTCGCTCAAGCGAGATGGAACCCGAGAGTCCCCTTTGTTTGAAGTTGTCGTCGCTTAAGCGATTAAACTCGTCGCTCAAGCAAGATGGAACCCGAGAGTCCCCTTTGTTTGAAGCTTTCGTCGCTTAAGCGAGTCCACTCTTCGCTCAAGCGAGATGGAACCCGAGAGTCCCCTTTGTTTGAAGCTGTCGTCGCTCAAGCGAGTACAGTCGTCGCTCAAGCGAATACGGGTTTACTACGTCGGTTATGGTATGAACCGACGTAGAAAGTCTATTTTTTTTAAAATGGACGATTTGTTTATACGAGGTACCCAATGTTTGTATATATACATACCTGCAAATTTGAATACAACCCAGGCGAGACAATGTACAAGATATAAACAATTGAATGTGCATCCAAAAATAAAATTGTATCCAAAATTATTGTGTATCCAACTACTTATCTACCAAATACACTAACTACTAATCTAACTAATAAACTAACTAGTAAACTAACTAGTAAAGTAACTAAACTAACTACTAAACTAACAACTAAACTAACTACTAAACTAACTACTAAACTAAGTACTAAATTAATAACTAAACTTGCCTACTTCTAACTTTAACAAACTTATTGGCCCATGTGTTTCTAATATCGTCAATGGTCTCTATGGGCAATGCTTCCTGTCTCGAAAATACACGTTACAAGAAAAAGATAATTTAACAGAGTATCCAATGACACAATACTTGGGTCTTTTATTGAATACTAAATTTAAGCAAACCTGATTCCATGTATCCTCAATCTTGCTAACAACAATCAGCCACATCCGAGTGCATAACATAATATCCGCACTCATAAGATCCTGGTTGCCTATTACACTACAAAAAATAATATATTAATTTGACATATAAAATGAATGATATAATACATAAATATAAAAGGACTTACATTAACAAAAATCCAATCTGAGTCGTGCTTTTGCTTGTGTGTACTCCATCAATTGTATTGCAAACCTTAAATGCACTTGTGCAATACAAGATATAATGAAACAATTAAGTAACAAAACAATTAATAATTGTTTAAATTATTATAAGAATGTGTACCTGTTTACAATGTTTTTAAGATCTGCATCGAGGTTTCTTGCCCGAGTGAGCGAGAACCAAGCCACAACATTCTGCTTTGGGCAAACAACCAACAACTGCCAATGATTTACGCTTACATTACAAAAAGTTAGGATAATACAATACACTATCAAATTTAATACGAATAATTTCATACGCTTAAATACTTACTGATGGTGGTAAGCACCCAAGTAAACTTTCTTCCTTGACTTCATCATCCAATTTTGGATGTATCTTTGAACTTCTTCTCTCTTGTTTCCGATTTTTGTATGGATTGGGGCTCAAAAAATCCATACACATCTTGGGTGCGTTGCTCCTCCGACAATTCATTCATCATCCTAAAGTAGCCAGTTCAATGTACATTAAATATGACGATAACTTCAAATAACATAATTAGTAAATAAAAATAAATACTTACATTGTCCAAAATTGTAACACTGCTATGTTTAGACACCGATTGCCAACTGCTATCTCCACGAGCATCGGTGTGCTCAATGTAAAGGGAAAGTTCTTATTGTCTACCCCTAACTTATCAACATCCCACTTCACTTGAAAAGATTGAATATACAAGCTGTGGGACAACAGATAGTAGTTGAAAAATTGGATTTTCCGGGACATCTACTTCCTTACCTTTACTAGTATGGGAAGTAGGAACCGGTTTAGGCAACTAGGGTGGCTTACGAACATCCTACATAAAATAACATTGACTTGAGAAATAATAAAAAACAGTACCGAGACTACATATGATAATTAACGAAAGTATATGCAAACCTTTTTCAAAATAGGCCTGATTAGATGTCTAGGCCATGCAATGAAGGTCCGGAGGGCTGTCCCACTGTCATCACCTCGTACTGTAGGCACAGGTACAAGAGCATAAGCATCTCGAACCTCTTCAATGACCACTTTGGCCAAGTTAGGTGCTAAAGGCACACTATGAATTGTAGAGGCCCCCTCTTCAATTGAACCAACCGCCACCAATCGTGGTTCGGATCCATCCTCATCAACATAAAATTCACACTGACTCGATTACACAAAAATAAGACATTAATTATTTAATATGCACATGAATTTTTGTCATTAAGATATCATCCACACATACCCGAGTGGTCGATGTACTGCAACAACAACAACAACCTCTCGATTAGTAGCAGGAAGGTCTTGATCAGCGATATTTGGCTCAGCACTAACTACCCTTAGTGCTAACTCGTGCGCGAGATGGAGGAGGAACATCCATAGGTGGGTGGGTAGGTCTGTGTGACATCTATGGATGCTAGACTTGAACCAAATACACGCATCATCTCCTCCCGAACTCGTGCGGTAATGGGCTGGTGTCGGCGTCGCTGTCGGCTCTTCAACCATCGTCGGTCTCGGCTTCGCTGTTAGACTCTCCTCCAATCTGGCCATCTCCTGCCGGCTCAATGATGTTGTGTGGGTATGGTCCGATGATGGAGCTCCAAAATATGCTCGAATACCCACACCGGCTCCAACAGCACGAACACGCCACGGGTGTTACGGGCGTCCAATAGCGATAGTTAATATATCTTCACGACCACGGGGAACGAATGTTCCCTGTTTATACTTGCTCCTCTAAAGAATCCTACAATTGAGCATTATATATTGTAAAAAAAATTGATGAATGACAAAGCATGGTTAATGAGGTTGAAAGAAACTAATTTGACTTACAATCCGCTCGGCAATCAAGCGGGCCTCCTCGATGTCATTTCACCGGA